CAATGGAATAAATGAATTAAATGTTCTATGAAACAGAAGATCAATTTATAAATATTCTTGCCTCTAAGCTACTTTGGGAATAACTCGGTCTCCGATGACGTTGTAAACTACGAAGTCTTGCATATCCCTCAGCATCTTGTTGGCTTAATCTTTGAATACTTGAAACAGGACTTGGTGTTTCTCCTCTTTCTCTGTAAAAATGTACAATAATAAAGAATGCTTTTAACTGATACGAAATTTAAACATCATCCTTACGGTAGAGCATAACGTCTGGCCTCAAGATCCGTAGCTGCGCTTTCCGATCGATTTCTGGTTCTTCGAGCAACTGGTTCAGGTAATTCTGGTTTGCCATCGCTAAGACTCCGATGATGTCGTTGTATAGGAATCGGACTTGGCGCTGGATATCTATTCGTAGGAGGAACGACTGGCCAGTGATCTCCACGTCTGTGTCTAACACATGGCCAGTCAAAAGACGATAATGCATCTGCACCTGCACGGGTAGTAGCAATGAGACTAAGGGCATACATAGCTGTTGCTCGTATTACATAATATGAACACGTTTCTGCTATGGAAGTTAACAATTCTATGACTCCTGCATGATTTAATTGCTCTACTCCTGCTGTTGACGTTCCCATGTGGCCGAGCGTCCATAGCGCAGATTTTACTTTTAAAATTCTTTTACTTAAGTTCGTTTGATCGTCTCGAGATTCAGGCTCCAACTTCCAACTCCTTTCTAGAGTAGTTCGTCTAGAATCGTCTAGACTTGTTTTTCGTCGTATATCTATCAGAGAGTCAACTTTTTGCGGATAACTTGTATCCACACCTTCCATGATTTCAGAATCCATTATTGTCTCTAATCTATTAGATTCTACAGTTTCATCTGTACCAGATTCTTCAGACATAGCACAAGTATCATCAATCACAGAACGATTAGTTTTAGTACATCTTGAGTTTGATTCTGAATCTCTGCTACCGAATTCTAATCTAAATCTTTGAAGAACACGGATAAAACGTTGTATTACATTTCGACGTAACAACAGCTGCATGCCAAGATCATGTTGCACCAATTGACCTATTAAATGTGGTAGAATAAAAATATTTTGTGGTGTCATAGGAACGTTACTTGTTCTTCTATGATAACCTCCTGTTTCATTTCTTTGACGTCGAGTCAGAGAATCATGTATTTCTCCCTCTATTAAACCAACATATCTCTCTGCAAAACCTTCTGGACTGATCCATTTTTCCAATTCTTCCGCGGGAGACGAAAGTGTTGTGAAACCTTGGGGGAGAGAATATAGTCGAATTTTCAGCAAGTATCCTTTATCACCTAATTCTTCCAACCATTTATCCCAATCCCGAGATTGTCCACCTTGTTGCAATAAAGCGTCTAAATATTCTGGTTCTTCGCAAGCTTCATGTAATGCCTCTAATGCAGTTAGTGCTACGATTTTATTGAAATCTGACAACCGTTCTGACAATAATGTTATTGCCCAACGATAGGCATCGGCCATTCTGGCTCTGAGTATCAATCGGAGGAACTGTGTCGCATATAGACGTGTACTGTCTAACGTTGCTTCTGTAATAATCTTAGTCAATACTTTTCTATTAGGTCCATCTCTAGAATAATCTAAACTTGATATTATAAGTTTAACATAACAGTCGTGATTAGTAGCTAAAGCCAAGTCTTGTAATTTTCCTAATAAGTGAAAATCCTTTAAAATCCTAGTCCCTTTTGCTGAATGACTCAACTGTCCAAGGAATAAAAAATATTTTTGACAACAAGTAGTAGACATATGACGAGGCGAAAATAAACATTCATGAGCAGATTGAGCTGTTCGGATACTGGAGATTTGCTCATCGACATCTTCAATTAACTCATATAATAATTTTGTACTCTCAGGTTCAGGAATTTCCAATAAACAATTCAACAAATCACAACCAGCTAATGTTGCGTCCCGTGCTAAATTGGCATTTGTTGCTAACTCCACCCTACTGTAACCATTGGAACATGGTTTAAAATAACGCACAAGCCTTTTCATAAATAATCTATGATCAGAATCATGGAGTATTCGTGAAGTATCTTCCCGTGAGCGTAATATAGATCGTACTACCGGCCAATTCCAAGCAAGAGCATCTTTAGAACTGAGTACTTGAGCATCTTTTAAAAGAGGTGTAGTCGGTGATTCTCGTCGTAACCAATGTCTGCTGGATGTTCGTTTACGCCTAGGTAACATCGGCCTTAACCAAGTACCAGCTTGTAAAATTTTATCAAGAAATAGACTTGCTGGTGCCGGTCTCCGTCGCATCATAGTATGCATTCGTTCCAAAATTGCAACAGCTGCTAAAGCTTGATGCTTTCCAGCACTTGCATGCTCCAATAAATTTGGTAAAGGAGGCGTAAGATCACATACTTCTGAAGGTAAAAGAGAATGTGCAAGATGCAGCAATGCACCTAGTAAAACGGCTGCACGTACAGAGATAAAAGTGTCGGTAGAAACAATAGTCTCTGCTAGGGCACGATGTAGACCACATTCCAACGAAGCATAAACCAATAATGCTAAATGTATTTCTGTAATATTTGGACAACGTGATGATAAGGATGGTAAAATATATTTTCCTTCAGCTGCAACAAAACCTTCTGACAATTTCCAAGAATCACGAGCTCTACTAGGATCTACTGCTGCTAGAGCAACATCAGGTTCATCTGTCCAAGTAGGCAATGGTAAATCCAACAACTCATAAAGTAATTCTAAAACAGCACCTCTTACTTCAAGTTTTTCAACATATAATACATCTGCTATAGCTTTTAATCCTGAATTATCATCAGGTCGACAAAAATGTAAAACTCCAGAATAAGATCTTAATATACTTAGTAGTGCTAACTTGCTTGCTGCAAATCTTTCTCGTTCTTCTTTTGTTCTATCTATACTTGCAGAATGAAGCTCACAGTAGGGAGCTGCAAAACAGAGAAGAGAAATACTACTCCTTGTATCAGGAGTATTTAATAATTTTAGTAAAACTCCTACAACAGATTCAATTATAGCAGGACTCTGTCCAGTCATGGCAGCTCTTGCAAGGGCACTAATTCCTCCACAACTGATTAATAAATTTGAATTTAAAACACCCAATTCACAAAGAGTTGCTAAAAATGCTCGAAATGCTCCATCTTTTTCTTCAACTCCTCCATTTGTTAAGCTTATTAAAGATCTTGCTAAAATAGGACTAAAATGTTTTGGAGCTAATACTAAAATTCTTCTAACAAGTCTAAGAGCCTGCATTCTCTCCATTTCATTTCGTAAATTAACATCCATACTTCTAGCAACAAAGTATGGATACTGTAATTTATTAATTGCAATAACATCTTGTTCCTTTTTGAGCATGTATCGTATAGCTCGTAATGCAGCTGCACGAACTTGTGTTGCTTCATGTACAAGTCCCACCCGTAAACTATAAAATAAATGTTACAATTAACACGTATACAAACATATTACATAAGATAATACATTTATTCTAACAAGGAATTTTTAAATTCTTACCAACAAAATACATCATTAATGGGATATCCATAGTCTGGTGAATCATTTTCACTAATTAATTTAACAATGGCATTAAGATAGGCTAATTTTTTTATACTTGGAACATTCTCACGTTGACAAAGATTGGTCAAAACTTCTTTCACATTTTCTTTCAATCCTGTAAAACAAATTTTTAATTAGCCAAATTAGAATAAACATCTTCATATTACGTACTACGATTTAATTACTGCTATATTGAAAGGCAGATTAATTTTAACTTTCATTAAATCAGATCTTTAATTGAATTCATTATCTTTTTTTTCTTTTTGTTAAGTTGCTTTTAGTACTTAGCAAAGAAGAAATCTATCACTTCACAAGATGCAAATGAAAGATAAACATGCATATATAATCACACGAAATAGCTATGTTATCTTTACAAAGTATGATGAATACAAAGTTATAGGTTACAGGTTAGGTTACTAACCTCTTGACAGATCAAGTTGCACGCAGCTGTCTTCACTCTCTTGACGGCCTATAAAAAGAATATATGAATAGGAAACGACGTAGTTTTAAAATAAAGAAATTGACAGTCAATGTTAAGCGTACTTCGATGAGATCTGCTCGTACGAAGACTCCTGCCCCAGATCATCCAACTAGAAATTGCCATTTCTTTACCGGCTGCTACCCACGATCACAATCAACACTTTTTGTCCGATTGTTACTACAAGTCTTTTGCATGATATATGTCATTCTCACTGTTAACCCAAAGCCCGAAGCACTATAAATGCACTACTGATAAATCAAGTGTAACACGAGTCAAGTGTTACATGAGAACGTTGCACTGAATATACCGCACTCTTCGGGAAAATTGCAAGTACCTGAAAAAGTTACGAGAGTCACGATAGACATGCAATTATCAAGAAAATGTGCTTTCTTTTTATAATTTTCCTTTGGATCGTAGGAAACGCGTACGTTCCGTACTATTTTCTTTTTCAAACAATGAGTACAAGCTCTGTATATTAGATGCTTTATTTCTGAAATCGTAATATATTTCCTGTTGTACGACGGTATAAGCAAAATACGCTGTATGACATGCTTGACTGGTCTAGACTAGTCACCGTTCATAAGATTCAATTCTGAAACAATAATGTTCTGTATCTTATAGGTCACTTTATATAGTTAATTCGATATAAAGCTTGTTATATTCTATTAATTGTATAATATTCATACAAATATTGACAGCAAAAATATGTAAATGGGTATGATTTTATTAAAATGCAAAATATTTGTTTAATTATTGTAAAAAATTTTAACACAGAAAAATAAAAAAAGTTACAAAAAATTTATTATGGCATAAGAAGTAATAATAGAATTGATGTTCTGAACATAAACTATAAACTAATAGTTATTATTTTGTTAGAATTACAAATTATTTTTATTTAATAATCACGTTTAGGCGCAAACGTCATTTTTTAATTTTTGTAGATGGACGCACTGCAGTTGCGAATTAGCTTTCAACGTTGAATAGTCGAGGAAAGGAAACATTTATTAGAATTTTAGAAAAATGGCATACATGATGGATAATTTAGTTCAGCCTAATATAAGTTCAGTTTCCAGTAATTTAGGTCCAGATTGGCTTTCTTCTGAACAAAGTACAGGAGTAAGTGTCAATAAATCCTGATATTAATTTTGTTTTGAGGTTAGAATGACAATGCAAACTTGTTAGACTTATTCACTGTTTAATGGAAGTTCAAAATAAAATTAACTTGTTTTGTTATATTTATATTATATCTGCATATAATTGTAATTTTATGTTAATATCTATAATTTTAATAGTTCTTTCATACACAATGTAAATTTTATCTTCACAGCAAGACAATTTTTATCATGTTTTATTTTTACAAATAAATCTATTAATTTTTAAAAAATCATTTTATTAAATAGACATCAATTATGGCTTGTGAATTTGATGGAGGAGTAGTAATTGGAGCAGATTCTAGAGCCACTACTGGGTATGATATATGTTTGAAATTATTTGTCATTAATATAATAATAATTACACAATTAATTTTATGATTAATTCATTCTAGGGCTTATATTTCCAATCGTTTTGCTGATAAATTGACTAAAATCACTGATTACATTTATTGTTGTCGTTCTGGTTCTGCAGCAGATACCCAAGCTATTTCAGATATAGTTGCTTATCATTTGAGTCTGCACAAGTAAATAGATTTGTCTATGAATGTATATATTTAGAAATGTTACATTATAAAAAACATATATGTTAAACATATATGTTGTAAAAACATATATATGTTTTATTTTTATAGAATGGAGCTGGGCATGGAGCCGTTAGTAGAAACAGCAGCAAATGTGTTTCGTGAATTATGTTACAATTACAGAGATTCTTTGATGGCAGGAATCTTAGTGGCAGGATGGGATAGTCGTAAAGGAGGTCAAGTTTATAGTATTCCTCTAGGTGGTATGTGCGTAAGACAACCAATTTCCATTGGAGGATCTGGTTCAACCTATGTATATGGTTACATGGATGCACAGTACAAACCAAACATGTCAAAGGATGAATGTGTTAAACTTGTTGAAAACAGTAAATAGTTAACAATTTTTTATTAATACAACATAATTATGAAATGGTTTAATGTTAATAATACTTTCTTATTTGCATAGCATTGGCATTGGCAATGTCTCGCGATGGTAGTAGCGGTGGTGTTATTCGAATTGGCGTTATTACGGAAAAAGGTACTGAAAGAAAAGTTATATTGGGCAATGAATTGCCGCAATTCTACGAAGGGTGAATGTTGTAAACACTAAATTTATAAACGGAATACTTACTCCAGCTTTACTCTATTTTTTAAAATTCTGTATCAACAACATCTTATTTCCTAATTAAATTAATATAAAAAAAATCTATCTTCTATTTCTTCTACAAGTATAATTCACCCCAAATGTGAAAGCATGATATGCTTTGTATATGTACATGTTTTAAATAGATTGCCAACAAGTATTATATGAACGCTTATAGTAGTTTTGAATAGCTACTAATAAATATTTCTTTGACACCTGAAAATTATCTAGGAACTTGGTTGAAACGCGACCGTCAAATGTGATCAAACACATCTATACGACTACTACCATATTTAGGTCGTATTATCCACTTACGATTCACTCTGGCATATACCCGGTCGTTTTAACTTCGTACTTAATGTCCATTGTCGATTTAATGAGAAAATTGTCACAATGGCACAATCGTGATGTGTGCAATCGTATCGAGCCGCTTCGAGCTTCTTTCAGATGAACTGTCACGCTAGTTGTGACCGGTCTTCCGTGATATCCATTACAACCTTCCACGCCATGCATTAACTAACGTGTCATAAATTTGAAATAATTTATCGTTCAATTTAATGTGAATGGAATTACATTTTTTGTTTGACTGTTACATCACGCATGTAAAACATTAACATTTTCTGCAATTTTTATTGTTACATAAATTTCAAATTGCTGTTTGCAAATGTATCAGACTCGCAATAACAGAAAGTCGCAATTCTTTTTAATAAATTAGTTTTAATGGATTGAAAAACAATCAAGTACAAAAATTAAGGTAAGCGCTGTTTTCAAATAAAAATACAATTCTCTCTATTTTTGTACTTTTTTCTTCATTCAACAGATAACAATTTATAATCAATGTTATAACGTTTTTACTAATTTATCTTTGAGGAAAACTCTTATTTTTATCTATTTCTCGTATTTAAAATTTCGTAATCAAAAAAAAGTTATTGATTCTCGAAAGGATTTATCTTTTAATTCAAAACGCCTGAAGGCGTTGGAACAATCACAAAATTCCATTTTGCAACAAAATGACCGCGGAGAGTAGCATGGAGGACCGTCAACCAAATTGGTCGCAGGACATGCCAACGGTACAAGAAGTCGGTGAAATGATGCGAAGTTTTGGTATATGGGATTACACAGTCTTCGCGTTCATGTTGGCTACTTGCGGTTTCGTTGGCATTTACTTCGGATTTGTTAAAAAATCGTCAGGAGAAGATGAGTACCTTGTAGGTGGTAGAAACATGAAGACGTTCCCTGTTAGTTTGAGTCTTATAGCCAGCTTCATATCGGGTAGGGTTACACGTAATTCTAAATATCCATTTGTACTAACGGCTCTTATTTTTATTATTGTTTCAATGTTATTAAATTGTAATAACAATAATAGGTATTTCATTATTGGGCACACCGACGGAAGTTTACGTACACGGTATTAGTTACCTTTATATCGGTTTCGGAGTAATCATTGTCGGCTTTGTAACGTCAGGGATCTATTTACCGATTTTTCATGAACTCAGGCTTACAAGTACCTACGAATATCTTGAAAGACGGTTCGACAGGAAGATTAGAACATTAGGATCAGTGCTCTTCTTGATCGGCGTCGTGAGTTATTTCAAGTTATTAAATTTTATTTAATTTCGTTCATTTTTATAAGAAACTTTTTATAAGAAAAAAATACCTCATTCTTTTAGATGACATGGCTTCCTATTGTTATTTACGTACCAGCGTTAGCTTTTAATCAAGGTATCGAACGCACAGCTAATAAGTTTGAATAAAATTAGTCGTATAAAATTAACGTTAATAAACAAAATAACGTATTTACAGTTACGGGAGTGAACGTACATGTAGTTACTCCGTTCGTGTGTATTGTGTGTATTTTTTACACTTGTGTGGTAAGATATATATAATTCGTAGATACGAAAACTATTAACTCTTAACAAGATATAAAACAATTCACCGTTTACTAGGGTGGTTTACGAGCAGTAGTATGGACCGATTTTATACAAACTTTTGTAATGTTTGGTTCTATGATATTAATCGTCGTTAAGGGAACATCCGACGTAGGTGGATTTTCGTTAGTAATAAGAAGAAATCTGGAATCTGGAAGACTCGAATTGCCCACGTGAGTATTATAATATCATTATTTGAAATGAAATAATGATTATAAAGCACAACAATCGTCAATTTTTGAATAGGACAGATTGGAGTCCTCTTACGAGGCATACAATATGGTCCCTCGTTGTTGGCGGTTTCTTTCATTGGTTGCAAATATCTGTTATCAATCAAAACATGATACAAAGATATCTTGCATTGCCCACATTAAAATCAGTTAGGAGGTACATCCATTATTTTAAATCTTTTCACATTTGTGAAATTTCAAAATAAATCATTAAGTAATCTGAAGCATGAAATGGGACACATTTCAGAGCGCTTTGGTCTTTTATAGTTGGAGTCTTGATTTTAATAGGAATATGCGGATACGCGGGAATGTTAATATATGCCTGGTACCATGTATGTGATCCACTTACAACAAAGGTAATGATTCAACTTCCCTGATAGTCTAATTCCACGATATATCGTGAACTGGAAGTAATAGAAAGATTTCATTTCCAACATATATCACTCAATATATCTGACATTTCATACTTTACGTCCTGCAAATATTTTACAATTTTTTACCATTAATTTTTATTGTATATTCTATATTTTTAATTTAATAAACTGATATTAAAAAAAAAATTGTTTTCCCATGTAGTTAGCAGGTGCGAAGGATCAATTGTTACCATTACTTGTTATGAATATATTAAACGAATTTCCGGGTCTTCCGGGTCTCTTTGTTGCTGGAGTATTTAGCGCAGCATTGAGGTAATATTTTTATCTTTACATTTACGAAAAATCAAGATTCAACTGCTCTCGTATTTTAGTTCTTTATCTACTGGTTTGAATTCCATGGCTGCGGTCGTGTTAGAAGATTTTGTCAAACCCTTTAGAAAAACACCCCTTTCCCCGAAAGCTGCGGATATTATATTAAAGCTCACGGTAGTTGTTCTTGGAGTAATCTGTGTGGCACTTGTATTTGTCGTTGAAAAAACAGGATCCCACGTATTGCAGGTATAATGTGTAAGAATTTAATTTAAAAACTTCCATTCGAAACAAAATCTATTTTAGTTATCTACAAACTTGGCCTCCATAACTAGTGGACCGTCTCTTGGAATTTTTAGCATGGGTGTTTTATTGCCCTGGGTAAATGCGAAGGTGAATGCTAAAATTCAATGTAAAAATGATAAAATGATAAAAGAATATATAATACGATACGATATCATGTTTCTGTAAAAAATAGGGTGCCTTAATAGGTGGTCTCTCTGGTTTGGGTTTTATGGGCTGGATTAGTCTTTCAGCGGAAGCAGCGATCGCTAGCGGAAGGATAAAGTGAGGATAAAAAGACAAATCGCTTTAAAATATTCGTGACTTTTTCCTAATATTGCCGAATGTAAAATGTTTCGATAGATTTGACGAGAAACCAGTCAGTACAGAAGGATGTTACTATTCGTTTCCTCAAGTAGAAAACTTAATGCTGCTTGAGCCACCAGACACGATTTTAGATGGTGACGAATTTCTTCCGTAATTATCAAATTTTTAACAGAAAACAATTTATGTTTATGAAAACAAAAATTATACTTATCTGTCACTAATTTTATTGATATTTTTAGAGAACCTCTAGCGTTGTATCGTCTCAGTTATCTTTGGTACACTGTTACTGGTGCATTAGTGACGATGACTATTGGCCTCGTTGTCAGCTTGATCTCGTCCGAAAATGTTGAAAAATTGGATCCAATGTTACTGGCACCTTTTATAAGAAAACTGTTAAAAACATCCAACAAAGAGTCTCAGCAGGAGGCAAGCAATAATTAGTGACCATTTTTCTTTGATAAATGTGTCTTCTGCAAAAAAGTTTTTGCAGAATCGGTTTTTTTAACATTTGATATCATGTATACTTTATTTCTTATAGGTTGGAAATTTAGAAATACACAGTTTGGAAATACATAGAACGCAAGGAGGAGAACGCAACTAAAAGAGTATTACATTAGTATGACCTTGACTTGATGGTTATGATCCATGTTGATCGAATCAGGGGTCGGCAAACTGTATGAGATGAAGTGTTTGGTTGACAGGCTGAAATATCAAATTAAGAGGATTGAGGACTAAAATAAGTTAGATCAATGGAGAAAATGACTTGAGTTAGAGTTTGGATGAGTTAAAATGCCGAGACAAGAGAGATGGACTTATTCATATAATTCTTAGTGACACGAAAGTGCTAAAAGTCATTTAAAACTGGAGATGAATAAAACTTCAATACATTTTTTATATCTATTTAGAGTTATAGTATATTTCATACGTATATTTTAACATGTACAAAGATAGTGTATACATTAGTAATCTAATATTATACTAGCGATATTTTTAATGAAATTTTTCACTGTAAAATATATAACATTCAGGATGTATAAAACAAACTTCTTGAAAACGCCTTTTCTTCCCACTTTCATTGTACATAAAAAGCTGAATGAAAATATAATGTTTGTATAATGAGAAAATTACATTTAAAGATATTTAAAAAAATTACGAGTATAAAAAATTATTGTGAAATAATAAATTATTAAATTTGTATTTTATTTATTAAATGCAAATGATATATTAAAATTATAATTTTTACTTTACTTTTTACTTTTTTATATAATTATCATAATTATCATTAATTCAAACACATATTCACACAAAATAAAATAAAAATCCCAAAATATTTTTCTTACATACGTAGTTGCTCATTTAGTTCTACAATGAATAAAACTCAACAATAATGCACTCTTTTAAAAGTAAATGTATTACTTTTATTTGAAAGAAATGCAACGGTGTATTTTTTGTAGACATTACAATGTCCAGTATATTGCTGTTACCATTATTATGTTTTTACAATCCAGATATCATTAACAAATTTTGAGGATTAATTTTATTGAAGTATAAAAACATTTGACTCCTGCAGTTTGGATTTATTTAAAATTGAGCATCAGATTACATAGATAGAGGAAATTTATACAGATCGATCGTATCTTTTTTCATTTATATGTATAAAATTGTACAAGAAAAATATTCAGACACGATGTTCTAATGTTTTGTACTTTATGGAGGATGACAAACTGCACGAGAATCAATCGTTTCTATAAATCCCAAAATATAATGTGATACAAACATATTTTGTGTAATAATATTTATAGATTATAATAGATTGCAGACTTTTACGCAAATTCATATTTTTGAAAATATGATTAAAAAGAGGTAGAACCTCGTAAAAAAATTGTCTCACGTATCAAACATTATTTATTTATTTATTTTACGTGCTATCTTGCACTTTAAAATTTCTTATAAATGCATAAAAATCAGCAGTCTATTTATCAATAACGTATCAAATGTTTTTTAGCATTGACATTGTGTTTGTTTGATACCCATAGGTATGACTCGTCGTCGCTGTTGTAAAAAATATTCGTTACGTGATTCAACATACAATTAAATATTAACTCACACAAAATAAGTAATGTACAAATTATTTAAAAATAATATAAAAACAGCAGAGCACCATTTATTTTGTTTTAAATCAGATAGATTCAAATGAAATATTACACGAGGCATCAGCTATTCTATTACTCTCTAATTTTCTTAAATCTGTTATTATTATTATTATTATTATTATCATTATTATTATAATACTGTAAGGAAAAGATAAACGTCGCAAGAAGCAAACTTTCAAGCTATCTCTTATTATCTGTCGTTATTCGCATCTATATTATTTCTTAAAGATTTTTACACTTGATGCACTAATAAAAACAGCTATATCTTAAACACGGTGATAGTATACAAACTAGAGAATGACAAACGTAAAAGCTGTTCATTAGACACATTTAACGTGAATAAACTGTTATTATTGCACAATCGTAATGTTTCCTTTTCGTAATCGTTAAGATATTGTTTTAAATATAAATGCAAGAAAGAAACTCCAGAGAATATACTCTAAATAAAATAAATAAATATATAGTCATATGTATATGCATGTAACTATTCATTCAAAGAAATCAAATTTTTGTGCTGGCGTATCGTTATAGGAAACGATGAACGAAATTCGTTAGACTGAATTTCTCGAAGTCAAAAGCATCGACATTACTATTCAAATTTATTCGCTCAAAATTTGCTATGACATTTTTATTTTTGATGGTAACAATGAGTTTTTAAAGTATCGTATTATTTAAAAACTCGATCGAATTATATTTCAAAAAAAGATTAATGTGCAATCAAAAAATTGATCTAGTAGTATCGATGCCTTTGTCTTTTTCTTTGAGGTATAGTTGTCATTATAAAACAATGTCGCCCGAATAGTCTTTTCCAGGACTAATATTGTTTGATTTCTATATGAATTCCTTTCAGCATAATTCTTCTATTTTATACAATTTGGACTAGATTTACGATCTTCTGGATAAGTAAGGTTTAATGTTTCATTTCTTTTTTCTTCTTACATTTGCAAACTGGCCACATCGTTTAATTGAAAATGTTATGAATCACTGGTATACAAAATATTTCTTCTACTTTTCAATTACACAATACAGTGGACATATCAATTATTATATTATCTATACAAATAGACAGTATATAAAATATTCTTCGATCATACAAACGTTAGAGTGAAGATTTCAAGATGATATCTTCAATATTGAAAAAAAACATATGAGAATAATTTTTTCAGTTCCGTATCATGAAACAGTAATATTATTTTTTGACAATAATATGAGGAATATACAAATACAGATAATTAATATTAAATGAGAATTCTTACGGTCATGGAACAAGTATAAAAATTATTGTTAGAATTAGAAGTATAAACGAATATAAAAATCAGTATAATTTTATAGAACAAATCTGAAATGATTACACCTGCTGAGAAATATTATGGCTTACTTTTATAAAATTCTAAAATATATCTGATCGAACTCTTTAAGTTACTAGCTATACAATGAATTTTATTTTTGGATTATATTTTTATTCATTTTACGCGAATGGAAATATATTCATGTTGAGGTAGCAAATCCGATATTGTGTGTTCAAAAACGAATGACCTCAATACTTGGTCCCATTAGAAATCATAATTTTCACTATATAAATTACATAACAATTCCAAATTAAATATATTTTAAATATTAACACTAAAACTATCGACGATTAAAGTATAAAATTTCCATCAGAGAGACATTAAAGTAACAAAATAGAAAAACTTTACAATACAATGGAATACGCAAGCTTTCATTTATATATTTTACGAAACATCATTTAGATCTCTAAAAACATACTATTTTACATCCAGAAAGTTTCTAATAAAAATTATAAATTGCTCGATTTTACCGTTTCGGTAGTTCTAGTGTTAATGAAATATAATTCAATACTGTTAAAAATAAAGTAAATAAAAATAATAGTGAATGTAAGATATTAGAAAAATAATCTTCCTTAAAAAATTCATCTATTTAAATCTACTTAAAATACCTATCGTACAGAATCTCATTATGAGGAATTGATATGAATGAGAAACCGTTATTTATCAAACAGCTATACATAGCAAAGATTTAACGTATTAACCTAATTTTTTAGCTTCGTTACTGATAAAATTATATATATTGCATTTATATATATATATATAATTTTATTAATAACAAATATCAATTCCTCCCAGTTTCATCTTTCATCAACTACTTTAATTATATTAAATTTATATCAAATGTTGTGCAGGCAACAGACTTTCCAACGGATTTTTCATTTTTCTAACAGTGAAAAATAATTAACTATCCTGTACATAAACAAAAAAAAAAAAACAAATCGAATATAGTTCAATTTGATTAAAGACAATCACGTGGACGTCAATGTCTGCCCGATAACAGGAACCTCGTAGGTACACAGGAGCGTTTCCTATCCTTGAGACAGGAATACATATATCTAAAAATTATCACCGACATAATGGGCATGTAAAAATACCATCATTAGAGAGATAATAAAATATCGGTAAGTTTCGTTCGAAAGAAAACAAGAATCTTACCGAGTTACTAACTTTTTAAGCAAAATAATTTTAGTTTCTTATTTTTTAGATATTACATATCTAAATGTATGAATTGACATTATGTTTGGATATAAGGGAATTTATTTGAGGCAGTTAAAATATTATAAACAAAACCATTATTCTTAAATCGATCAATAAAATTAATATCTCAACCTTAAATATTTCAAAAGCTAATTGCGTTTAATGAGAATAATTATAAAAATAATATATGCATATCATAAGAAAAAAATAAACGTATTTTTGTAAATAGTTAAAGATATATAAAGATAATTAATTATAAATTAAAATATATGTAGATATGAATAATATAAAGAATTTTATCTGCCTCAAACTATAAATGTAATAAAATAGAATAATCTAAATGACATTGGAATTAAACACACAACGGCCAATTGTAACGTAAGTACTAGAACCAAATTCGAAGCATGGTATTGCAAACGAACATTTCGAATCTGAAAACAGTGTTTAGTTACAAGTTGGTCGTCACAAGGTTTTTCCTAGAACTGCTGACAAGGTACGGTTTGAGGTGATAGCGTCGGTGGCAATGGTGCATTTTCTTCATGAATCATTACAAGTTTACTATACTTCACCATTCTTCTCCTATGTTTTTGCTGTAAACAAGATCTTACCTATCAATTTCTCAATGATTTAATATTTAAAAGGCACAAATTGTATGACATTAATTATCCTAATGACAATTAGTTTGCTGTGAAAATCTCATATATTTGATTACGAAATATCGTCAAAAAATGATAAAATATAGACTGTGATAAAGATGCTATTAAGGTCAATAAAGAAATATTATTCTCATCTTTTCTTTTTTTATAAAATATTTTACAACTGCTAGTATTCTATCGAATTGTAACATTTAACATAAGGTCTTAAAACTATATTTTACCTGTGACATTGTACCAGCTGTCCAGCTTCCACTACTACTTCCACTGTCACTGCCACTAGAAGTGATTCCATCTTCGAGAACAAGTTTTGTTTCGAACCCCTCGACTTCTAAGTCCAAATAAAGCTGACTCAATTGATCGTTTACCAAAAGAGGTTGATTGAAATTTTTTAAGGCATCCATATCAGCTTGAAGTACTTCGTTCAGAGTCTTGGGGTGTATTTGATACTCATATATCAATTCTGGAGTTAACTGAACACCTTCGAGCCATGGTGGTTCTTTTCTTCGTTTACCGTAATGTTGTTTCATACTTTCCTATAGATAAATATTTCATATTTTTCTATAAATATAATATCTTTTTCTTTATTAAAAAAAATTTAACGTTATTTATAACTTTGTTATAATTGAACCTTTTTAAATAACAAACAAAGATATTATTTACCTCTGGTAGATATTCGATTGGTTTTTGGTCCGGATTGCAACTACTATCGCTACTCTTATATAAGAAACTACTGTAAAAGCTTGATGAACTCGATTCGTCTATGGTGTAGTCGTTCTGTCTGTGGATCTTTTGATTCATAGGCGTTGGTGCATCCACTAAGCTCGAGCAACCTCCATCATTGCTCACACAGGAGAATAATTCACCGGGTGACAGTACCTAATTATTATTTAACATTTAATATACCCACAAATCAAATTGAGAAGGAGGGAGAATGAAAATGTCATTTTACTTTTTTAGAAGATTCTGACATAGCCATGATGCTGCCCGGTTCAGCTTTTACACTTGTCGCTTGACTCGCCGGACGTTTTCGATCGGAGCATTTGTTCACTATAGACTGATTATTTTCACGCGTCACTGATGTTTGTTCAGGAATCAAAAAAGGTCTGTACATCATGCCCGTTGACGAGGCACCTATTACTGGAGGATAAATGACACCGGCCATCGTTGTCGTCATATATGAAACTGGCACAAACACTGGAAATTAGTTTCGATGTTTCAATTTTTAATTATTGCCTAGAAATATTCTCTTGAAAGCTCATTTATTCAAATAAATACGTACTGTAAGGATTTGGTTGCGGGGGTTGCATTGATTGAGGTGGACTAAATTTCTCCTGTAAAGGCGATGAAGCTGCGGGATTTTTAGTTTGTGGAACGGGAACATAATATACTGGTATCATCGGCGGCAGTATTGGTATTCTGGGTATTGCTTGTGAATTCATACTGAAATTAGAGAAACCACAATTTGATTTAAACCCGTCTATTATCCGTTCTCCACATTCTTTTCCTTGCTTGACGAAGGAACACTCACTTTTGTGGCACATTGTGTGTTTGAGCAGATGGGACAGGCGGCACAGTAACTGACAAAGGCTGCCATAAATTGATGTTAGCACCTGTTTGAATTACGGTGGATTGATCAACGCTCATGCTTGTAACTGTGGTCGCGACATTTGTTGGGAATTGACCTGCGGTACTTGTCCTTGATACTTCGTCGTGCTTTGAAACCTAATAAAACATAATCAAATACGTTTTTTTCCTCGCGGCAACTCATAAACTTATGGTTACGTGAATTTATTGGTGGATTACTAACTTTAAAACTGTCTCCCTCCCAGCTATGGCTTCCGCTCCTCTTAACACCGTGGCCTTGATTAACGAAGTACGTGTTCGGATCCGTCGACATTTTCTCGGTGGTTTTTATTCGAGAATCCTTTAATTTGTCGCTAGCCTTAATACTGGATCGAAGTTCTCGGTGTTTTTGCATCATTAGTTTCTCCATATCTTCATTGTGACGATTGAGCAACGATTCTGTCAACGTTGGAGGTTTAAAGCTTTCCGTGCTAGTCGTATTCGATGTGTTGCCTCTACTTGCTGAACTTGTCTGATTGTTCGAACCACTGCTGAGATTTTCTGCGCTGCCGCTGCCGCTTGCACCGCTTCCGTTTATTGGTGACATGCATTTTCTCACTAATTACAAGATAATATAAATATGTATTTATTCGAACTTAAGCAGGAAGGTTCAAATTAAAAGCTTATTCGACGACAAATATCTTTGCCGACGAAAAGTCTTTACATAAAAAAAAAAAAAAACTCAGCAGTGAAATCTTACGATGAAGACTCACCTACTGTCGGGCTTGTTTTTCCACCTTCTTCATTGCTGGAATTAATATTCTCTTCGTCGCTGCCATACATGGTGGCAACCGGTGGTTTGCTCTTAAAGAACCTTTCAATATTTTCGTTGTAGTTGAGCTGATTGTAACTTGGCGGTGTTTCGGTGGACGATTTACTGTCGTAGTACTCGTGATGGGGCGAGATTTCACCAAGCATCACGCTGTCGTGCTCCTGCAACAAGGGATTGCGTGATCCCTTCACAAGTATATTGTAGCGACTTAGAAAGAATTGTCATTTGATTTCGCCACTGTCAAATGTTTTGCAAATTTGCGTTGCGTTATGCTCTCGTCGAGCTTTCATTTAGTCGGTCATGTTAGATGCTTCGCGCAGCTATAAGGTGGCTGTTAAAAATTTGTGCAAGTGATTTGTTTGCACTATGTAAGTTCTTCAGCAATCTTGCGACCGCAAAAATGCAATATTTACAGCGTACGAGCGATCAATTGACCGACTAATATTTCTCCAGCTCTGTAACACCGTTAGTTGCTTCAACTATTACAACTGACCAACTTTCTTCCGTTTCATTGCCTTTTCTTTTTCTTTAGATCAATGTCATTCATACATTCATACATACTCTTTTACATATCCCGTTATTTCTTCAAATTCCCGTCAAACACACAAAAGATTTTTAATATCAAGATTTAAACAAATTTGCATATCGGTGAAAATAAAATAAAGTAAGTATATAAAATTCTCTCACTTTGTTTTGATTAAATGAATTCCTTATCCTTAATTTTTATTTTATGTACGATAATGCGATAATATCCTAAGAAATATTAATTACGAACGACCAGTTGACCAGTACTGTTATCAGAACTTTTAAAATATTAATATCTCGCATACTTTAAATATGTATTCGCTCTCTTTCATTCTCGCTTTCTCATATTGCCTCGTTAGTTTCAAAACCTTGTAAGTTGAAGAGATACACTGGAACTTCATTCACGAGTGTCGTATTGCAATAAATTTATAGCCTTTAACGTTAACGTATCTCAACCGTTTTTCGAATACATGTGATGACTGAACTTTTCGAATCCCGTACATTGTGCACGGCCTGTGGAATTGCGAGTCGCCAATCGATACATAATTGCTGTTACACTTAACGCTAGAACCTGAAGAAGAGGCAAGAGAAGAGACATAAGCCGATTCCGATTTCTGATGACAAAATGCACACAAAGTTAAGGGAAGAATTAACGTAGAAGAAAACTTCTTAATACACAGAAAATGAAAGAAATATATAATAATATACAGAAAAAGAAAGAAACGTCTCATTATTTAACAAAAAGATTCTTAAAGATACAAATATAAAGGAAGAAATTATCGACTAGGAATCACAAAGAAACTTAACAATGAAAACAATACAATACTTCAACGATAAGAACAGAAAATAAAATTAATCGAGGATAAACTCTTAGTGAATAAAACAGATAATGGGAAAATCGAAAAGAAATAATAAATAACGTTAGATAGAAGCAAAAGAACGTTAGAAAATTACTAATTATCCCTTACTAATGAGATAGATAAAAGGAGAATCGTACAACCAAATATAAATTAAAGTAATATTTATGCTATCTTCAAAAAAGAATTTTTGATGATACGTTTCGCTAAAAATTCGCTAGACACTCGAGATCAGTATATATAGTAACAAATTGCATTTTTTCTTTTTTTTCCAATATTCTTTCCCATTTTCCATCTATCGATCGGCAAATGGTACGTTGCTAGAAAAAGAAAACAATTAGCTACTATATGATACTAAACGTTGCAATCGAGGTTGGTTTACAAAAAGGCTTAGCGTTTGTTTTTTTTTTTTTTACCAAATATGTACGAATAGTGATATTGAGAATGAAAAAAAAAATAAATAGACTTACCAACAACGTGCCTACAAGGTTTTGAAATTGACGCTATCCTTCATCGGACCTACACAATTTTCACTTTGCCTTCCGTCCATGTCGATGTACAAAACAACTTGATAGATTTTTCTTTGTTGTTGGTTCATTTTCGTTCTTACTTACAACTAGCCACACTATGAATTATAGTAGCAGATGTGCATGAATACCCTAACTTGTGAAAGGTGGCGTTTTAACGTTACTTTAAGTTAACCGTCCATTTAGATGTGTCACCAGGCTGTAAAATGTTTAATCAATTGCTATGTTCCTTACTCACCTTGCACCTTAGTTTCCAAATCAAGTTTCCAAATAAAAATTTCCATAACATATTGTCCAGAAGCAGCGAGAATTTCATTATTTTCAAAATAATTTCCCTCTACGGTTCTAAGATTCGTAATGCCAAGAAAATTTAAAGACAACCGTTGTCGAATAATCAATCTCAAGATATCATCGAATTTTTTAAATTTTTAATTTCGTTTCTTTTTCTAAATTTTTTCATCGTAATATCATCAGTATAAATTTCTGATTGCTTCGTGAAAAGATATATCAATATAGAACTTTTTCTATTAGCCCTTCACCTATTTGTTCTCTACTTACATACGTCATGCGTTTCTGAATGTTTAACAAAAGAAAAAAAAAGAAATTTAGTAACTTGATTAAATTCAAACTGAAGTCAAAGCAATTTGCTATTGAATATTCGCGAGAAATTTCTTTTTTTTCCTGGATTTGCTGGCACCGCCGATAAATATTCGGTACAATGCTTTCGTTTTGTATTTTTTTCTTTCGTAACGATGATAAGCAAACGAAAGTAGCATTTGACAGTGAAGCAAGCTACAAATGCCTAAAATAGACACGAGACTTGAACTAAATTGAAGCAAAAAGAAAATATCTCGTAGCAAGTGTAAAACATATCGAATGTTTGAAAGCCAAGAAAATAATAACGAAGACAGTGTTGTACCAAAATACTATCGTAGAATTCGTGAAACGCCTTATACTATATGATTTACATTAATACTATATGATTTAATAAGGGCAATTCCACGTTGAAACGCGGGTAATATTACAATTACTGTAAATATACTTGTAGTATACCACCACAGCGCATTACTAGCGTACTACTAGCAAAATAGATAAGTGTCGGCGATACTAAAACGTAGCTAATAGTCACCGAAAAACTCCTGTCGTCGGCAGCGAGCACATCTTTCCCAAAACCAGGTGTCCTCGTCTCTTGCAGTAGATTTTCCATGAAGGACGCAAGGTCCTTGCACCTCTTTGACACGTCGAGCTCGGTTATATCTGACTTTCTTTGGATGTTCTGCGCAGACGTACGATAGAACAAAAGAGAAAAAGTTGGAGCGAACTTATTAGTTGGGATTAGAATTTCATGGGAACAATTATTCGGCGGTGAACACTTTTACTGTCTGTCTGTCATATCTCATTATCCTTCTTAAATTCATTTGTCTGTTCGTTGTCGCATTATCCTTCAGAGAGGAAAAAGAAGAATAGAGAGAAGGGAAGAATAGTCCTACGTACTTTGCTTCCTAGTATTGTAACAATAATTCGGACAACGCGAGTTCCTATTCATTAAAATTTTTATAATATGGATACATGATTCATATCGCTATGAAAGAACGTGTATAACTTATATAAGTCGTATTTTTGACGAATAAATAAAAGTCAGCTCGATCATAAGGGTGATGCCCTACGTTTACCTTATCAAACAATATTACGATTTAGACAAAAATTGTACTAACTATACCGCTGGTTCAGCATGAATAATCGAGGGAAGACGTACCTCGAGAAGTGTACGTATCTCTCCTTGTATGATCTTGGCTTCTTTTAGCACCTCCTCGCTAATGTTGGCCAATTGGCTGTACTCGGTTACATATGGCACGCGAAAGATATCAGGATTCGCTGGACCTTTCAGCACCCTGTGTTGACCTACGACAAACTCTAGTTTTTTTGTCCAGGGATTGATAAAGGACGACCACTCTGTTTCGAGGACGACGTAGCCTCCATTCTGCACCCCGAACCTGTACGGTTTCGATCTGAACGTGGCACCTTCGAGCTTGATCACCTGTTCAACGACATGCGTAAAAATATGAATAATCGAAGGAATAGAGGTTTTTATACGTCGTTCGACGTTCGGTTGTCGGGACTCGCTTGTGCTTGCACTTTTTCTGCAGATTACATTTTTTGCACTATCATTCTTTTTTTTTTTTTTTTTCTTTTTGTTTCAAGCGTATACTCGATCGAAACCTAAGGCAAACCTAAAGGCTTGCTTTTTTTTCTGAAGCACATGCTCACAGTCTCATAGATGTCTTTGATGAAGGGCAGATCCTCGGGATGATAAAAGTCAAACAGCGAACGGCCAACCATATCCTGAGGTAGATAGCCAAAGTATTGGACTACGTCGGGATCGACATGAGTTAGGTAGCAGGTCGCGGTGTGGCGGGTCGTGAATACCGAAGATATTATTGTTTCTTCTGGCACTGCGGATAATGATAATAACAAGGTCGGGGTCATTCTCTTTCTTACCAGATGCTTCCTTCGTGATGAAAGTTTTAATTAATCTTTACGGTACGCAATCGAAGCGAAAAATTTGAGTTCTTGACAAGTCTGTATGAAATAACATATACGTATAATATTGTGCAAAGCGATGTACCAACCCTTTTCGATCATATATTTGTGAATTTCGAACAGACTTGCCGAAAAGATTTAAAAGATGCAATGGCATTCTAAGTTGCTTTATAATATCGTTGAAAATAAATATAGAATATAGAATAAATGTATTTACAAGCTAATCCTGCATCTAACGAAAGCGTTAATATTGAGACAAAGAAATGATAAAGACAAATAAAATGTTTGTTTCTTAAAATAACTTTCTATCGTTGATAAGAAGCTAACATATAAACAGATAGATAAAGGCATATGTCTTCAATTCTTTCTCTTGTTGTGTTGTTAAAAAATTTTATATCGAAGACATACGAAAAAAAAAAAGGAAAGAAATATATGTTTCGTTCTTACTTTCCTTTTCTTAGACTTAAAATACAGAATAAATGATGTTAATAATGAAATATCACTACGAGCCCATGAAGCAAAGTATAATAAATTTTTATCTATTCTATGAAAAATGATTGATGCGTTGTTATTCTTGTTCTCTGTTTCTGTTACTTAAATCTTAAATAAATAGACGAAACAGTGGTCTCCAAACTGAACGAAAAACTGGCCAGATGAAAACGAATAAATAAAAAGACAACAAGGATGAGAGACTATAAACATTGTCACGATTCTCAAATAAACATTTCTAATTTAAAAAAAATTACCTTCTGCTTAAGGAACGCCATGGAAACCACCGAGTCATATTGTATCACCGAGGAGATTCGACTCGACGAAACGACTCGACTCGATCATTTTTTTCTACGACATGACGAATCAATAAATCTTGTATCTAGATTTATAAATCATTGAAATTTATTTATTTATTTTCTTTTTTTTTTAGAAGAAACAATTTATCGAATCTTTTTGTCAGTCGACTCTCCTCGAAGATCTTTAATCGTACTACCTTTATATGCAGAATGAACAGGTTGGGCAGTAACCACTAGGAACATTGCTTTGTGCTGCTGCTCTGTCGCATGGTCTCGAAAATCTCTGAACGATAAGGTCAAGTGGAATGGAAGGTACAGGTTCGATCTCGCCTGCTTATGCTGATTATTCGATTGGTGAACAGCAGCTTTCGTGAACTTTCGCAATCCGCAAAATAAACTTGCCCTTCTGCCGTTAATACCTGATAAAATAATTAATAAGTGGTTTGTAAAGAATTTTATGGTAAAATTTTTAATAAAAAAAGAAATGACGATTATGAAATCACATTTTTCGTAATCTGTCTTTGTCCTTTATTAAAAATTCTTTAGAATTCATTTCACATGAAAAATTTTATAAAAAAAAAAAAAATTAGTAACTAATACCTTTCGGTCGATCTTCTTGAGGCCATACTATACTTTTCGTAATCTGGTCAGCCAGAGTGGCCTTATCCTTGGGGTATACGTAGTTGATGAAAGAACGGCCAATCCATGCGTCCTTGGAATATCCTAGAGCTGTGCATATCGAGGGAGTCGTATACAACACGAGGCCATCGTGCATTGAAATCACTGCGCAAAATCCCTCCTACAGGATACATAATATGAAAGCGTTGGCTTGGATTTACGTTAGATTGGTACTAGTGGATTTGTCTATGAAATCGTTCATTAGTACATGGATGACACTAAATCTATGCCATCAAGGTATATTTTTACATAACATCTCGACACCTTTATCTTTTTCTAAATGACGTAGCTTGTAGCTACTTTGTCCACGATTATAAATTCTTCGCATTCATTGCTCTGATTTTTATCAATAATTACATGTAAATTTTGAGCTGGAATTATCATAGGATGTTTCACGTAACATCTGGAACATCTTAATAGTACTTTTTATCGGTTCAATTTTAAATCGGTATGCACAGAGAAAAGGGTTATACTTAAAGAAAAAAAGTTGCCAGTTCAAAGAAGTTCTGAAAAATATCGAACACATAAATTAAATAAAAAAATTTAACAAATATAAAGAGATATATGATTATATTGTTAGTAAAGCTTCATCTAACAAACCAATCCCATTATTGAAATGTAGTTAATGTAAATATTAAAAAGCAAAGAAAATATAATATTTCTAAAGAGATTTAATAACCTTCTCGATCACTAGAAAATCGTTCTGCTAGCAGTAGCTGTCAATCCCTGTAGATCTCCTTTCTCCATGCATAACGTCGTGGAAACCTCACAATAATGGTACTACTATGTTACATCACTGTGCGCAAAAAGTCATACCGGACTATATTAATTAAAGAACAGTCGGGTAACAGTCCGGTTAAAACTAATTTATAAATATATGCGAAATATTAGACGGCAGAATGCTTCTCCGAACGTGCCCGATCCTGGACCCTAAAAGAAACCCCTCGATCGACCACGATCAAACGAGCCTCGACTAATGTAACTACTATTTGCTTCTATGTGTCCTTCTACCACAGTTAACTAGTTAAGAAAGGTCTGTTTCCCCATTGCTTTATATTAAATACTAACATTGGCTTGAGAGGCGGAATCATCCAGAAGATTCGTACGAGAAGGAAGTCCTACTTCGACGTCTGTGACGGCATCGGCGTTGTGCTCGCCGGGATCCGTTGCATCCACCAATTCTACAGTGGCTACTTCTTCTTGTATACACCCAACAAAAATTCCTATTGTTATATTCCGTTCTTTCTAGGTATATATCTGCCCATGTTTGCTGATGGGACATGGATTCTTCATACCCACTTATTATTAGCATTGGTCACGTTTTCAACACCGTTTCATGAACATTTATCATTTCAATTTTAGATAAGCATGGGGATATCTCTCTCGTCACACTACGACTTTCATTTTGGGAGACAGTTAAATCGTTCCAGCGTAAGAAAGGAACGGAGTACTCGATGAAGGGAGACAATAACCAAGTAACCATAGTCCCTGTATGGATTTCCTTGGATATTCTTGAAGATTTTCGATAACGGAAGATCTTCGATAACGGAAGGAAACTAAATGAAATTAAATAACATTTAAAGCTATCCAAGAAACGTGTAAGACGTGACCTGCTGCATGGGTAATGAATTAATGAAGGATAGGAGATTGCAATGTTGCATATTACGTTAGACAGAGCAATGAAAAAAGCTCGAGGTTGTTCTTGAAAAAATAAAATAAAAAAAGAATAAAAAAAGACACACCAAGCTGATACCAAGGCAATTTTTACTTCTCGACTCTTATTTTTTTACCTATTTTACGACTATCGCATCGTATTGTTGCATTCTTTCGGGACGTTGTCGCGGCTGTTCAGACGAAGCGCAATACGATCGCTTTATGTTTAGACGTCAACGTGCCACGCATTGTTCGATTTTAAAACATTTATCAACCAAAGATTGTACAATACAATGTACTTTTAGCTATCCTTCGTGCGAACGAACTAGAGAACGAGCATCGTGATTACATAACGAATCTATTCTTGCGTTTGGACATATCCTATTGCAGGACACGCCGCAGGCTCGTAACGACTGATGAAAAAAGCCTACGTGACAATTGGTTGTACGAGATGGATTATTAAAAATTATGTAAATAATTACGTAATATAAATCATAGGCGCTTCATGATGTTATATAAAGCTCGTTTCAGTTTGAACGCTGTTATGGCTGGACCAAACAATGAGCTCGGAATCTGCCTTTTGTCCACGGATAGTATCGAATGATTATATAAAACCAATATAAGGAGAGATTATATATAAATACATGTACAGTTTCAATGTTTAAAATATTTTGGGACCGCCATTCTATCTCCGATAGCTGTATCTCCACAGCACAGATATACATAGATATAGAATTTTCTTACAGGCTAATGCATGTATATTAAGCACTGCTTACATCACTATACGATGCTAATCAAAGAACTATTTACAACCGTGTGATTATGCTACACGTATTATCATAACGTAGAGAACTGTGTCTCTCAACGTTGCCAGTGACACTTCTCTTATATTTTACTAAAGGATCGTTATGTAAGTGCCAATATACTATACTAGCGCAGAAAGCTTGGTAAGACGAGGTAGGATTAATATTTCATCACGTAGTTGGGTTAGAAGCTGGGTGCTCCTTTCAAGATATCATTCGCCTTGGGCAGAGCTGAGATTAATTGCCAGGGTAACAACAGCAGTCATTATTCTACTGTATTTTGTTTAGGAACGAGCTATGTAAAGCTCTTGTTTAGAAAGGTTCAGGGTAATCGATGCTAGCCAAATGTCCCCGAATTCGAAACAGACGAACCTTCGGGACCCATTGAATCCCTCTTTTGTTCAAACAGAAACAATACGAATTAGAACTGATCATATAACAACAAGACGCTGAATCGTTTCAACAATCTTTGAACAAAAGAGGATGCAATTGATCATTTCAGATTCAATGTTTGACGAACTAAGGGAACCATAAGGATGGACGTAGGTAAGGGGGAATGATCGTTCAATGTATGTGCCTTTGGCTGTGAAGCGAAACCTAACGAAAGGGACAAGTGCACGAAACCAAATAACGTTACGCAAAAATTATTGATCTTTTCCTTGCTTCGTTGGAAAAAAAGAATTAATTCATATAATTCACGCATAGTTTTTTATATCGCAATTATCAAAAACAATCTTACAATTCTGCGTTAAATCGAGTTTTGTCGACGTTAAATCTCAACCATGAAATTCGAAAAGGAGAATTGAATTCGATAAAGTCAGCAGAATTAGTGCTACGAACAAATGACTAGGCAGACGGTAAGAATTTGATAATCTAGATTCTAAATCTCTCTCTTATGATACCGATTACGTAACTTAATGATACCGTGGACCAAACTACTCCGAAAGACGAAAAAGAATTTCCAAAATCGTACAGTTAACGTGCACTTGTTCCCACCAATTTTAAATTGCAACCAACCTGGTTTTTTTTCAAGTATAGGTTTCGTTGGGACGGCGACATTATAAGACACGGCCTCCGGCGGTGCACTTTTCAGTGTAATATCTGCCTCAGCATTAACAGCCAAAATCGTCTTCGACTTCTTCTTCTTATGTTCTTTATCCTTTCTTTTGCTGATTGGCTGCGGTAGTGCTTCACTGCTATGTTCACATAGACATTACATGTACAAGTGGAAAAATTTCTAATCTTATCTAGCGGACAGATCCAAAAATTAGTAGAGATGGAGCGTAATTTTGGAGGGTAATTAGAAAGGACGTTCTGTCTAAGCTTCGTGTCATCGAAGAATATTTTCTGCGACATCGCCTAGCCATGTTGAAGAGGTGGTAGCAAGGTTGGAAGGGATATCTTTCGTTAATTTACAAATAAAGCAATCGCGATCGATAAAATAAAGCAAATATACGTGTTTCGACCTATATCGTAATATCTATATCGTATAAAAAAAAAAGATAGTAATCAAAAAGAAACTAATATATATTTACTCTAAGTTGAAATATAATGCAGTGAACTATAGAATCCTGAGAGACTTGTAGCTAGAATAAGTTTGATATTTCCAGCGTTATTCGTAAGACGATGTGTTACAATTCATTGGTCTTATCGTAACATTTATTCAACTATTTTTTCATTGCGAAATCTTATCGAAGTATCCTTATGTAACCTTGAATAAAATGCATGAATTCTCACGCATTTCTCGATAACGCAATACTAATATTGATATTTCTCGTACACTTTTATTAAGTGAGATACCAACCATACGTATTCTAAAAATAGATCTATTTTTCGATGAGTCAACAAACAAGAAATCTACTGGACATGCATGCAAACATGAACTACAGGTTCATTTTCAGCTTTAACAATTGTTGTTATTCTAAATGACCCTGATAAGCATAACTAGATTTATGATACTGTTACGTGTTGTGGGAGTGGATTGATACAAAAATAGACTAGATTGTCAAGAAACTTTCTCCAGGAAAACCACTGGCAATAAAAATATTATACGTAACAAATGCTTTAGGTCATCAAATAGTGATTACATTCGTTACATAACGAAGAGAAAGTGCATTTCTCTATCCTAAACCTATGAAACTTTTCTCCAAGATTAGATTGGCCATTTAGTACTTCCTAGTTCGAAAAGGCCAACGTATTCGAACAGTTTCGATGAAAACAGTCAAAATACTGTACTCTGAATTTATATTACTGAATTTAATTGTAAAATAAAGTAAATTAAGGTAATTGTAAATTAAAACTAAAGAATAAATATACTTTTTTAAAGATCGGAAATGTTTTTTTTCCTTTAGTCAAAGCCAGGTACAAATTATTATATAATCATCATATATAAAAGAGGAAAATTTATTAATATAACTTGAAATATATTATGTAACAGATTAACTATTTTAACTGTACTCTCTCTATATGCGTATTCTAAAGAACAAAAACCATTGTTAATCGCTATTATTATTATTATTATTATTATTATTATTGTTCACTCTACTCGAGGCGATAAAAAAGTCTTCGTAGAAGTAGTAATTGTCTTGACTTTTACGAGTTACATAGCGAATTACAAGAGAATCTCCACGTAGAGTTTCTTCTGTTCCGCAGTTCTCTGCGAAATATGCGCGACGAGCGATGAGACATTCTCACATTACTGGCTCGTAGAGTGCATGTTGCACAGCCGGAGACCAATAGACGTGCACCAATGCGAGGTGTGTCAGTCTACTCGACAAATATGTATTTCCAACCGCGTAATCAGTTTCTTTTTAAATTTTGCAATCGCCATACGAAGCTTTTTCGTTCAAAAGAGAAGAACAACAAATTCCACGCGAAATAAGGGAAGTCAAACTTCTTCCATCGATCGATGAGATTTCAACGAAACAGGAAATGTGAATGTTAATTAAATGAAAAATTAAATTAAATGAAATTTATGACGTAGTATACAAATTCAAAGTACCATCATTTTTTTATTTTCTCTATTTTTTTTTTTTTTGCTATATACAACGAGTAATTGGGAATAAAAACTTGTTTTTAATTTATGGACTCGATGTTGATTTATTATTAACGGCGCGGCCTACTCAGATTATGCAACAATACGTGGGGATATCTCATGCCACGTAGGCGACGCGGTTGGCGATATAGGCACGTGGCACGGCACATGCACTAATGTTTACAACAGCAAGTAACAGCGTTTGTGTGCGCTTTCTCGTAACTGAATGTAATCGTTTTCCTGCATGTACATGAATACGATGCTAAAAATCCACATTGGTAGGCGCGTGTACGCGCTGTGTCACCTTCACAATTGCGATAATTATGGAACGACCGTGTTCAACCGCACGAACATACCAGGAATAAAAATATACCAACAAATTTTTCTAGTTTTCCCATTACGTAACTATGGTTTAAACAAAGAAAAAAAAGAAGAAGAAAAAGAAGAGTAAGAATAAAAATTAGAACAACAATTGATTGAACGTTAGGCATTAGGTTCCTAAAATTCGATTATAATTACACAGGAGGAAGTAATAAAAAGTAATTGCGCTGGCTTTTACAGTTCCATTATTGTTCTTAATTTGCAAAATGAATAATTCGCAAACGCTATATACATTCGTTGCAATGTGTTCATGTACAAGCAAGCATAGTCTGATTGGAAAACTCACGTTAGCATGCAACGTCCATTCATTCTTGTTGATTATAGCATTACATATACATACCACAGTCATTAATTTTAACTTAAGCAGCTATTTTCCTTGTCAAAATATAAATAGATGATTTCCGATAGTTGAATAATATATGTGCAGTTTTTTGTTTGTTTCAATGTCAGAAATATAAATACCTTTTACAATGTTCGATAAATCCAGTTTTTAGATATAAGTAAGTGTTTCCGCATGTATATTTGTACATTTTTCGTTCAATTATCCGAGGCCATAATTAGATTATAATAAACGCTTACATTTTTATCGTACGAAAGAAACAAAGATAAGATGGATACCTCAACCAAGTTGTTTCGCATGAAAAGCTCGCAGAGGAAAAAGACGGAAAAACTTTCCACTGGATTCGTTTTCTTGCTTTCTACTAGCCGCAACGACCTGTCTTTTCTTTACAGATACGATATACTGATATATTTCCAACCATAATCGTAAGATTCTTACGATCATAAATACGTTCGCGTCAACAGTCAGTAGACACCTTTCTGTTTTTTGAAGATTGTATTTTGGAAAAAGATTTTTGCAAAAATCAACCACTATCGCGATTGCTTCGGTCGTATTGACAATGAATTTTTAACTGATTGGTGCTTAAACAATGTGTTACCTGGATCCAAATGTTGAAGGACGCCTACCGCAATAACCGCTACTTTCGGAGCGATTGCTGTTTCGCGAAATCGAGCTGCCACTACTGAAACACAAATTAATAAACGTTATTCAATGCATTAGTCTGATAATAAAAAATAAAAAATAAGAATGACTATTTTCAGACTTTAGCATTTGTCGTAATATGACTTATGTAATATAGTCACGTTAACGTCTGACGATCAATCGGCTAAACTACTATAGGTGTGTTTAGCCGCCGTGTCTGACTTTGACTTATCTGTTACTACTTAACGTACTAAAACGTTAAAATCGATTTTCAATCGATTGTTTACAGAACTTCCTTACAACTAACAAACTTGAAAAATGTTTACCGTATTGAACGATTTAATGAATGACATTCAATAGATTACTGTTAAAATGTTTGAAGAATTGAGAATTGGAAAAGAAAATAATGATAAACACCAAAATTAACGCTTATCTAAAGTCAAGTCAAGCGCTTATTAGATTCATTTATTTTAATTTTTTTCCTTTCGTAAGTCAACTATGCATTACAATACACGAGTTCTTATTTTCCTCTTTTATTACATTTATACAGTCTTTCTGCACTTTGTAAAAACGTTGTAAAAACTTTTATAACTAGTAGGAATCTTCGATATATATATTTTGTATTGTATTTTATTAGTCTTTGTATTAGTCTTTTAATCTTTAACTCGTGCAAGACACATTTTGCAAATAAAAAAACTTACTGGCCAAACGAAAAATTGTGTGCGTTTTCGATCTAGTTCGTACTGTGACTCGTAAGATTACCACTCTCTTTCGCTAATAAATTAGCACATAAGTTTATAGAAGGTAATTGCAAAGGTGCATTTCTCGAACGATAACAACGGCCTCGTCCTATTGGCCAATTAAATCGTCTCCGAGAAAGTCACACAATTCGCTGACACAAAATCTCTGAAACCAGTTTATGGAATGGTAAAAAAGGTCCGATCACATGTTCGGCAAACGTGACCGCCACAATCAGCCCTTACGACGGAGTCTTTCTGGCCTTTCACTGTCCTCATTATTGCCCAGGGAACGAGCACGGGGCTCCTACATTTGTTGCACTTCGTTCGATAGCAAAAATTATTGCATAAGAAGGTCTGTTTCACGCTCATGGCCCCGTGACTAGAACCGTCGAACGAGACCGTGATCCGGCTATCGATTTTGTTCGGAGTTTCTGCCACGAATGATGCCAAGGGATATATTTCGTTATATTAACGAAATATAAAATCCGATAGTATCGTACTCGCAATTATAATTAATTCTTAACTAAAGACATATATATTTTTGATTTTTTAATTTCACTATTTTGTTTAATAATTGTTAAGGATTTCTATAATTGGACATACTTTAATAATAGAGTTTTTAAAATTTTACAATTTAAAATTATGGAAAATCAGTGCGGATTATTTCGTTATTATGCAATTAATGATAGATACGTTCGATCAGTGTATGGTATAATTCTCTTCCCTCGGAGGAACATCACGTTTCATTCCTCATTCGGTAGTTGCAGCGTGTGCAATTTTATTCGAAAGCAACACGTGAGAATTCAGAATCTATATTTACCTGTTTGTAACAATCGGTTAGGTAGCATGTATCAATAGCCGAGTCGCCCACAGTTCTTTATATATAGGGGAACGCGACTGTTACATCCATGATGGATAATTAAAAAAAAAAAAAAAAGAAACAGAGCTCGAAATATAACATACACGTTAAATAAAGCAAGATACGCTCGACACAAATTTTTCTAAAATATCTAAATAATATATATATATACAGTGTTGTACATTATAAAACTTTGTGATTTAGTTATTTAATTGCTTCCGTTAGATATAAAATTTTCGATAAAAATATTGTATCTTATTTCATAAGTTCTTTGCGATTGGTAATTTCGCGGGAAGTATTTCAGACACTTTCGTTAACTTGCGGTAATCGGCGATCTTGCGTACGTTTTGCATTCGTTCGACCTGTTTTCATTGGGTTTCGCAATCAATGCTTAGGTGTATTAAATGCGAACGTGGAAATGCAACTGGCATGCTTCGCCAAGAAACTAGTTAGCCTTAACCATAGTGTTCGAGTTTCTATCCTTATCCTTCTCGCATTGGCTGTACTTTTCATCTATCTCCCACCAACATTACCAACAAAGCGTGTCAATGCCAAGAATCCTGCGCTAATGCACACCGTGTAGAGATTCGATATCCTAGCGATCCTAATAGGCAAAATATCCTAAGATATCTTATACATTTTCAAACTGTTTAATTTGTGAATTATTAGGATGATTCTGGCCAGAGATTTATGTATGATTGCAAAATATCCACGTGAAATCTATTTGCAGATACTCAGAAGTCCATTCTCAAATATTAAAGAAGAAAAATCTATCGATATTTGGACAGTTCAATTAAATCTGATGAAACAATTATTCCAAAGATCAGAATTTCAAGGCTTTAATAATTTGATCGATCAATTCGACTAAAATCTGTGATGCTTCAAAATGTTCGAATCGATCCATACGATCAAGCTGCGTAAGCAATGATAATTCTTGAAATATGGAACTTGAAATTTATTGAGATGAATTGAAGAAACTAATTGATCGATCATTTATTTAAACTATTCGTGTTTTTTAAAAAAGTATTAAAAAATCACATGAAACATAAAAGAATCAGAGATTTCTTTAGATTCGCAAGTACAGATTATTGTGAAACTTTTGATATCATTCGTAAGGTTTCGAATTGCAATAAAAAATTACGGCACTTCTGATATATCGAAACGCGCATTTTCCAATCAATCTACCCATCGTACGGATTTCACATATGTTTAATCAAATGTTTATTTTTATTTGAATGTGCAAGGATATATTTTGCAAATCGTGATTATATAAGGATCTATTTGATGAGTTGCAGGAGTAAAATAGAGATCGGAAAATACAAAAAAGAAGGAAACGATCAGAGAGAAGAGATTACGCCTCGACAACCGTGAGATATTTCTGTACGAGTTAAACTCATATTAAAATAGCAATTCAATTAGCATATACAGTTTTTCTAATCTGGTATCCAGTTAAATAATATTCATGACTCGGAATCTGATAAACGTACATTAAATGTTTGCATATGTATAATTGAATAACAATGTATTAATGAATGCTTCTTAGTAATTCATAGAATTCTTCTTGTTTTCATTATATTTATTTCTATATTAGTTACTTAGGTATGCTAATTCTCGTCTAAAGAAAGTATACTTTGCGTATAATTTATTACGTAAATATTATGTACTTAATATCAGAATCATGTATATATTTCAAGTGATATAATAAAATTGAAATTTTTGCGTTTTTTGATTCTTAATAAACTAATAATTTTCAACACTGTTTTACCTTATGGTTTTTTTAGTTATTATCTGTTGTACTACATGCATTATTTCAAACTAAAATGAATCAAATGATACAAGAATATATTAATATTTATTAATATGCAAAAAAGATTGGAAATTTCATTGAATTGTAAATGTGAATCTGTAAAGTTCACGTTTTACGCTAATAATTATTAGATGAATTATAAAACTAATTTTATGTGAGAAAGCATCCACTAACTCATCTTCTTTTACAGACGTATTAATAAAGTGTAGCATGATGTGAGTTTGTCAATCAAGATCAATATAACGCATAGTTCGTATTTGAAATCGATGGCGCTATATTCAAATCAACGTGATGTTTGCAAAATGGAGCAAGTTCAATGTACTCTGAAGGATGCGAACAAAAATTTCGATACATACCTACGTTGAGATTGACTGTTGCTACAAGTGTTAGAATATCCGGAATCCGACACCTTGGCATTCTCAGTAGATACCTCTTCCATCGTTCTCTTCTAATGATAGCTTTTCTTTTAGACGATATCCGTCGGGTCACAACACTGCTGCTAAATCGAATGAACTTGTTCGCGTATCATTTCTATATTTCGTGACGATAAAAGTGTTAGAAACTGATAAAGAAATACGCGAAGTCAAACTATTCGTACTTATATGAACAAAGGGAAGATTTTTTTTTATCGCATTCACTACTATTAACAATTGAATTAAAAATAATGCACCATCTGATTGATCATAAAAAAATCAGTAAATTAATTGAGAAATAGATACTTTCACTAATTTCTAATTGCTTTCATAATAATATAATAGACACCACGATGCGTTCTAGACGATGATATCTATGAAGACTGAACCACACCGTACGTCACATATCTATCGCGTAGAGTGACTGTTTCGCATCATGTTGCACGTTTGGTAACACGTGAGTTGTTACCCCTCTCCAAGCTTATTGTCAACCTATATCGATACAAAACGTGCCCCACTTAAACCACTCGAACGACGAACACGATTAAAATAATCTCTCTTACGCTATGACGACTTTGCGCAGTTCATTGGCGCGAAAATTCTTCTTTCTACACCGGCGACATCTGCCGGCGATTTCTTTCTATGATCTCTTCAATTCAAATTTACAGCGGTAGATTGTATTCAGGAAACAATCAAAAACAACATAATGCGCTCTTTTTCTATAAAGATTATTTTATTGCACACTTTATGAACATATCAGAAAAATATGTTAAAAATAAATTATAAATAGTGTATATTTCAAAGTGCAGCATAAAAGTGGAATATAAAAAATGCAAGTACATATAACAATTTTCTAATTGTTATGATCAATCTCCGTTCAGTAATAAAAAGGAGTTAGAAAATTATAATTTATATCTTTATATTTTATGTTTTATATATACAATAATAGTAATATCTTACTCTGCTATATCACAGTCATCAGGTACACATCTTAGAATCCTTGAGCTATCCTGAAAGTTAAAAGAAAAGACACATCAGGTTAATTATAGATATAGTGTAGAGTAGGACATTCTGTTCAGTGTAAAAAAAAAAAAAATAAGTGGAAGTCAGTGTGAGGTTTTGAATACTTAATGTGTATTTTAATATCACCAAACAAGTCAGTTACAGTCTCCTAAAACATCATTGCGTATGGTCATTGAGTAGAACAGTCTAACACATGTACAAAAGTGTCCATCATAAAACGTTCATGTTGTGCGTCAATTATTGGTATTTGACGAATTGTGATCATGGACGTAATATTAATTTCCTAAGAAAACGTACTTTCTTTAAAGAAATTTGATCTAATTGTAGAAAACAACATGTCGATATATTTTTAGCAAATATATCTATACATATAAACATCTGTGATGTTTAAGCAATTCCAAAACAAGATTTACTCATAATACTTCACAGTAGAAAGATTTACTTATAATACTTCACAGTAGAAAGATTTACTCATAATACTTCACAGTAGAAAGATTTACTCATAATACTTCACAGTAGAAAAATTTCCCCTTTGCTTCTGTGTCTATAATTTTATAATTGTAAAACTTACTTTTATATTTACAAAAACACATAAAGTAATCAAATCTGATTAATAATACGACTTTTTAAATTTATTATGTACACCCGATATTATTCAATTTAAATTATTGTTGTAATAAGACACAATAAAACATAATACAATGTTTAGTTAGATATAATTTTAATCTGCATAAAAATCTTCCTAAAACTTCGTTATATTTATACTCACAAAAATATAAATTTTATTTATATCATGCAGAATTATAGTTTTTAAAACTACGTTTGCAAAGTATTTAAAAATAAAAGTATTATTCTGTAGAATATCTTGTTTTGGAATTTTAATTCTATAATAACAAAATATATTTTTATTTGTAATTACGAAAACATGTGTAAGAAGATATTTTACGTTTTCTTTCATACATATTATAGCTAATAAAAGAATAGTACAAAACTATTGGATATAAATTATAAACAAAAACTTGTTTTACTAATTCTAAAGCACAGGTTATATTTTAAAGCCTGCGCGAATAGTTAAAATTAATATTACAATTAATAATTACATTTTTTGCTTTATAGGTAAAAATATAAAATATTACGAGATAATTTCATGTTGTATCTTTTTTTCTAAAATTATCCGATTCTCTCAATCCATTAACATATAAATAATTTTTTTAAATAAATTTAAACAAATTTGTTTAAATAAATTTTCATTCCAATATAATTTTAATACCAAAGTGTATGTTCATCCACAAATTTTCTTACCTCTGGTTAATACCTGCAATATATTACCATACAATAATAAACGCCTCGAATATATTGCATCGTATACTTTTCTTGTGCTAAAGGAAAGTATTTCATATTTAACTAATTTTGTGTTCTATATATTCTTAACTTGAATATTTAAGATCACTTTTCGCACAGGCCTCTTAAAATAAAATTAGGAAGTCAGGTGTACGTGTAACGACATGTAAGGATAAAGTAAAGTAACGTTAAAGTTTCAGTAACGTTGAAATCGCGAACGTAAGCGGTAGTTAAAAGTAGGTAGTTGGAGTAGTTTCCTTGGATGCGGGCCCGACGTGGTCAAGTGAGTCTTAAAATTCGTCTCTTTTATTGCGTGCGTCCAGCTTGTGTATACCAGTCAGTCTGTGAAGACAAATAGAAAAATTACATTTTCTCCTGTTTTTTAAGTAAAGTAATCGTCAGTTACAACGTCAGGGTGTTAATATTTAAATGTCTTTCTCTTTCCCTCCGTTCTTTTTGCCATGTACTCAGCGTTTTACTTACGAGGTATACAAAAAAAAATTTAGTTTTCATCTTCATCCGTTCGCAGTCGTTTTCTACGATCTTCACCAACGTTGCGTTCTTCTGCTTCTAATACTTTTAACCGAGATCCACAAATCTCTTGTCCATGTAAAACCTACAATTATCATTTTGCAAATTAATTATATCGGTTAAGCGTTTTGAAAACTTTAATTTAGAAAACTTCATTATAAAACAACATTATAAATATAAAGAAATAAAATATGATACCTCAATTGCTTCATTTGCACTCTCCACACTAGCATATTTTGCATAACCACAATTTTTTCCTGGAAGCATGTAAACATCTATAAGATTTCCAAATCTGCAAAAAGCATCCTTCATGGCATATATAGGAGGTACTGGAGGTCCACATACGATGAAACATCTTTTGGCAACCTCTGCGTCTATACTAGCCATTGGTTGCGCGGGTGGTAATTTGATACACATTGAATGCTCTAAACCTAATTATATTAAAAAAAAATTATACAAGAAAATTATACATTATCATACTATATAGATAAAATAACCTTACTTGGTGCAGTTAATCCTGCAGCTTGAATTAAAGATGTAGCTTGAGCAATAGTTTCAGCTAGATGTGCCAAATCTGTTCTAGCACTAGCAATTCCACCTGCAGAACTACCAGGTTTTATTGCATTTTTCGGTGGTGCACTTGATAAATCTGGTTTGACTATCATTCTATGACCAGGAGGATATTCAAAACCATGAAATTTTTCTCTTGCATATGCTGCTGCACTAGGATTAGAATATACCACAACAGCCTGACCTCTTGGCATTCGGTATCTTACATCATTTTTCAAATGACAATAATCCAAACCAGGTACAATGTCAAACAATTTCCATAATTGATCTTGATTTAATGCTGGATGTGCAATTACTTGCAAATGTGTATAACCTTCAGAATTAGGATAATTCGTGGCAATTTCTAAACTAATACTGCTCTTTCCAAAATTTGATGAACTATAACCTCCACCAGCACTATCATAATGAGAAGATAGTCCATTATTATATTTCACATCAATATGTTCAGGTTTTGGCTTTTTTGGTTCTGCAAATACTGCCTTATACTTCCTATCACATTCTTCAAATGCTCTTGCTGCACTAGATACTTTTTTAAATTTCACATAACCAAAGCCTTTTGATTCATTCGTATTTCTATCTTTAACTACTGTTGCATATTCTATGGGTCCAAATTTTGAAAATTCTTGTTGAAGTTCACTATCTGTCATAGACTTAGGCAACACACAAAATAGACGAACCCATCTTTCTTCTTCATTAGTTTCCCTAACAGATCCTTGATCGCGACTGTAATAAATATCTATGTTTTTATATTTATATATATATCAATGAGGAACAAATTTTTTCAGACATTTTAGAATAACTTACTTTGAAGCAATCATCACTTTGATAGGTCTTCCAACAGAACCTAACATTTTTCCATTCATTTCTTCGAGAGCAAAAGCTGCTTCTGATGTTTTTGAAAATTTAATGTACGTAACTCCTAGATAAACAATGGATATTACTTTTTAAATAATTCATTAGAAGCATATAAAAGAGCAATTTTAGATAAACTTACAAATATACAAATAAAAATAGAATAAGTCTTATTGATTTCTTCTGTAGACAAGAGAAATTACCTTTATTTTCCCCTGTAATTCGATCTTTAACTACCCAAATGTCTTCGATCTTTCCAAATTTTTCAAAAGCTTTTCTAAGATCATCTTCTTCCAGACTTTTATGGCATATAACAAACAAACGTGAATTTGGTGGATCATCATTTTTTGATCTTAAATCCGTTTGTGAATAATACGATTCTCTTTCCCTGTGGTCAGCCATTTTGCAAATGAACGGTGCAGACTACGTCGCCCGTCTACGGTCAGTAAAATCAACACGTTTCAGGGACGGCTAAAATAAGGTTCTATAAGATCAATTTTCCAATATGTACATATTTTTTAGAATTTCATTCATGTAGTATCAAATATTAGTTGCACGTTTAATGTTACTTTAAATTTATTTTGATGAAATTACATCAAAAATTTTCTTCTATCTAAATTTAATATTTTTTAACATAAATCACATCTTATGTCATTAATAAGAATGATCATTTTATCACACAATCATATAAATTCGATATATTTTAGTAATAATAAAAATTTACGTGTATATAATTGTGTAATAATTAAGTAGATGTAATGACCGATAATTTATAAAGTTTTTTTTAACTTCGATGACTCATAGAGCGAAATTATACTTGGATTTCCATTTTAGTTAATATCATTGTATTGTGAGTCTAAATAATTAAATTTTTTAATTATTTTTTAATAAAAAAATGTTTTTTTTATGTTAAAAGAACTATTTAAAATCACAATACCTTATTATTTGGAAATGTGGTATAGTAATAATTTTAACCACGGATAGGTTAGACTAATTATTTCCGCATTGATTTAACAAGAGTGTTGAACGACTTCATAAGTCATGCTCTATTATTTTCTCATAATACAAACTTTCTTATATGAAAGAGATATGTAGGTAACCATATGTTACTGTTTTCATTTCCTGTATATTGATACACATACATATATTCTTTTCAAACGCATTTATGTACATATGTATGCTTTAATAAAGTTATTTATTATACAAAATTAAAAAGATAAAAAATAAACAATAACTTTATTTAACATATTAGTTAATTTAGTTAAGGAAAAGTAAATAATTTTCACATAAAGATAAATATAACAATTTTTTTAATAAATTTATAACTTTTTAAACAAAACATTTCAACATTTTCACACAACCACTATTAAATTTATCAACCATTAATTTATAAACATTAACTTTATCTGTATGTATTTACATTTTATTGCCATAAAACTATATTGACAATTATACATCGTATGTAGATGCAGATACATTTCCACCATGTCCAGTCCAATTAGTATGGACAAACTTTCCTTCTTGACCAAGTAATTCATAAGTGTGAGCACCAAAATAATCCCGCTGAGCTTGAAGTAAATTTGCTGGAAGTCGAGCAGTTCTATAACCATCATAGAAGGCTAAAGCTGTTGATAGTGCAGGAGTTGGTATGCCTAATGTTACAGCTGTAGATACTACTACCCTAGCACTAGCTTGACATTCCTTCATTGCATTAGCAAAGAAATCATCCAATAATAAATTGGAAAGTTTTTGATTCTTTTCAAATGCTATTTTTATATTTCCCAAAAATGCACTGAAAGTAATAAAATTTTAATAAAAATTATTATTTAAGAATATTAAATTTCAATAAAAATTTAGATACCTTCTTATAATACATCCTCCTCTCCACATAAGAGCTATTCCACCATAATTCAAATTCCAATTGAAAATTTTGGCAGCCTCTCTTAATAACATAAATCCTTGTGCATAGGAAATAATTTTGGAGGCATAGAGAGCTTTTTTTAAATGTTCTAGGAATTGTTTTTTATCGCCTTGATATGTAGCATCGGGCCCTTTTAACACTGCGCTTGCTTCTACTCTTTCACTTTGTAAAGCAGAAAGACACCTAGCAAAGACTGATTCTCCTATTAGAGTTACAGGTACTCCATAATCTAACGCTGCGATAGCTGTCCATTTGCCAGTTCCTTTTTGACCAGCTGTATCCCTAATTCGCTCTAATAAATATCCTTTCTCATCTTTATATTTAAGAATATCTCTAGTGATTTCAATCAAAAATGAATCAAGTTCTCCTTTATTCCAATCATCAAAGGTTTGACTCATCTCTTCTGCATTAAGTTTTAAACCATTTCTCATAATGTGATATGCTTCGCAAATAAGTTGCATATCACCATACTCAATACCATTGTGTACCATTTTTACAAAATGACCTGCACCTGTTTCTCCAACCCAATCGCAACATGGTTCTCCATTGACTTTTGCACAGATTGACTAAAAAAGAAAATATTTTATTATTAATGTATATTTAACTAATTGAATTTATTAATTATAAACTAAATTTTTAAATAAATATATTTTAATATTTTAAAAAGTCACCTGGAAGATTTGTTTAATATGCGGCCAAGCTTTGGGATTTCCACCTGGCATCAAAGATGGTCCATATCTAGCACCATCTTCACCTCCACTAACACCACTACCAACAAATAAAATTCCTTTTTTTTCTAATTCTTTGGTTCGTCTATCAGTATCTTGATATTCAGAATTACCACCATCAATGATAATATCTCCAGGAGACAATAAGGGTACTAATTGTTGTATAAATGCATCAACAGCTGCACCAGCTTTAAACATAATATATTATTATAAATATTTTAATTATTTTAGATATGTAGAAAAATGAATAAATTTTGTTATTACCAATTAATTTAAATGCTATTTAAAAACTTTTAAATAATATTTTAAACTTTTAAAGATCATAGCAAATAATAGTTCATTAGAGGTTTAAATTTTTGTTCTTAAACTCACAATTTATAAATGAAATTTACCTTTTACCAAAAGCATTACTCTTTTTGGTGATTTTAATTTGTCTACCATTTCTTTCAATGTATATGCACCAATAATTTTTGTGCCTTTTGCTTCATTTTCTAAAAAGGATTTAACTTTATCCGTTGTACGATTATAAGCGCACACAACAAATCCATGATCATTCATATTTAGAATCAAATTCTGGCCCATAACAGCCAGTCCAATAAGGGCAATATCAGCAACTCTATAAACAAAAATATGTTTTTTATTATAATAGGAATTACTTAAAGTTGCATATTTTACACTATATTATTTTACATTATATAATCTATATTTATTACAATACATATAAATAAAAAGATATTTTCTAAATTGATTTCAATATAACATTTATATTATCTATGTTTCTTACTTCTTTAAATTTCATCGATTAATTGTTTATTAAAATGAACTTGAATAAAAGTGATTACATAAACCACATTATCGGAACTTACTAAAAATAATTATTTAAATTTTTTTATAAATTTATATTCATAATTTATCAAAAATAATATAGGAAATACTCACGGTTTACTCATGTTAGTTATTTTTTTCTTCAAAATAATACGTGATTCGATTTTATATCAAAGAGCAACAAGTGGTCGATTTACCACGAAGATCAAGAATGAACATTCATACTGGACACTGGAGTAGATTCGACATCAGCCGACGTTTCGTAAGCCAATCGCAGTGCACACCAAGGTCAGCATAAAGTTAACAAACTGTGGCCACTAAAGTTTCATAATTTAATCATTATTACTATAATGTAATATTAAACGATAATTAAAATGATAGAAAATTACAAAAAACTTGTCGTTTTATTATTTAATAATTATAAAAACTTAGCCTTTATAAAAATAGTATATTAGTGGAAAAAACATTTATATTATAATACAGAAGAAAAAATTAGATTAATCTGATTTTGTAACGCTTTTTACGAAATATAAAGAAACGTAATTTTTTTTATGAAGTATCAAGATATTAAAGTTTGATTTATATTTTCTTATAATAAAATTGCTTTTATTAACAGTTTCAAATCAATGTTTCTATTATATCGATTACAATTTTTAATACTGTGGTTCATTTTAATAAATATCGTGGTTAATAATATTAATATTTATTAGTTATTTTATTATTACTACTTAAATATTTAAAATCTTCGTAATTATGTACGTGAACTTTGTTCAGTTACTCGTTTCCTTATTTTGTTGAAAAAAGAGTTAGATGATGATTCAGCAAAATCAGTTAGATAATCTTAATCTTGTATAGCAAGCGTTTTGTTTCAAATGGATTTTTGTTTTACGCGCGTTTAACTAAGAATTCTTTAGCTCCAATCACTGTATGTATATACAGAGCTGACATCACTTTCAGTTATTGCTACACGATGATTGGACACATCAGACGTATGGATGTTTTAATTGGAAACGCAACATGTCGCGATTTGCTTGATTAGATTAGGGAAGGTCTTCGTATATTTCTTTCACTTTTGGGTTATCCTTAGTGTATTTTCAACAGTTTGCAACAGTTCTTAAGTATATATTTCTTATTATAATGTATCAATAATGACACAAATTTATCACAAATATGTTGGAAAAGGACTTGACAGAAAAATATACATAACCCTCTGACAATGAGATGTCCCATTTCTGAAACTAAATACACCTTTTTTATGAAGAAAAAGACTGCACGGAAACACGATTAAATACATATTAGTACCGAGTGGTTTAGTGGTTTACCAATATGGGATTATTATTTGCAAAGTTGTGGAGTCTTTTTGGCAATGAAGGTAAATTCAACATACAAATGTAATAACAATATTGTTACTTATTGCACTGCTTTGTGCATAGCATCGTATATATTTGTATTTAACAATATGTGAAGAATATTAAAACTTAAATGTAAACAAGAATTATTAGTTTTATTTTTTTAATTTTTAATGATGTTTTTATTTATACATGAAAATGATTTATGAAATATTAAGATTTCTTTTGACAATTTTGCAATCAAATATCGATAAAAAAGTAATAATAAATTTATTCAAATAATATAAACTCTATAGCTCTATTTATTGGTATAATTAATATGTTTTCTAAAAAATTCTTTAAATTTTTACTGTCTTTAAATATGGTTTAACATATTTGTTCCAGATATTTTTCTTTCACATTATAAAGCAAATTTTTGAAGTTTATATGTAAAAGTTTATAATTATATGGCTCATTTAAATTCTTATTTTACTATAATTAAATTTTTTTATCTTTCAGAACATAAAATAGTTATGGTGGGTTTAGATAATGCTGGTAAAACAACCATATTGTACCAGTTCCTAATGAATGAAGTTGTTCATACATCACCAACTATTGGATCTAATGTTGAAGAAGTTGTTTGGAAAAATATTCATTTCATAATGTGGGATTTGGGTGGACAACAAAGCCTGAGAGCCGCATGGTCCACGTATTATACTAATACTGAGTTTATTATTATGGTTATAGATAGTACAGATAGAGAAAGACTTGGTGTAATAAGAGAAGAATTATACTCAATGCTAAATCATGAAGAATTAAGTAAAGCCAATGTCTTAGTTTATGCTAACAAACAAGATTTAAAAGGTAGTATGACAGCAGCTGAAATTTCTAGACAACTAGATTTAACTTCTATTAAAAAACATCAGTGGCATATACAAAGCTGCTGTGCCCTTACAGGAGAAGGGTAAGAAAAAACTTTAGTTGTAATTAGAATTACAATGTTATTTATGAAAGTAATAAATTTTTTTGTCTTGTAATGTTTTAGACTTTATCAAGGTCTTGAATGGATTGTTGGTCGTTTAAAAAAGACATGACGTACATTATGAGGATTGATTTTGAATGTAATAAGATATCTAAATTGTAAAATACATGTTCAATGTAAGTTACTGTGCCACTCTAACGATTGTACAAATGATATAAGAATGAATGATCATTTTTCAAATGGTACACTAGCTCCATAACTTAAAGTGTAACTGCATATACTGATTCATTATTGCTGCAGACACTTAATGTATCAAGTGGTGGACGGGTAAATTTTGTCTTATCTATTAATGTGATATAAAATATAATGGCAAATGATTATGATATAAAATTAAAATAATGTTTTAACTATTCTCTGTGTAAAATATATTTAAAACATCATGTTATAAGAAAATGGAAAAATTTAGAATATCCAGAGTCTTTTATAGAAAATATTGTTGCATTAAGAAAAGTATCTATAGCAAAAAATTTTTTTATCTGTGTATAAGAAGATATATATTGTAAACACTTTACAGCAGGACTGCCAAATGTAATGTATGGTCTACAAACACATCTGATTATTTATTGCTATATTAAATGCTATATTAAAATTGCAGTCTCAATGCTACCAAATTTTATTTTTGATTCAGTAACAAATGTAATAAAAGTTGCATGCATTTAAATGTATTTAAGTGAGAATATATAAAGAATTTAATCTTGATCCCGTCCACCTGTGTTTATATAACTATAAAAATAGATTATTTATTTGTTCTATTGAGTTAATGTACGAATAATTATTTGGCCTGTGCAGTTTCCAAAAATATACCTATGTACATAGTTTTTTATACTCCACATTAATAGTAAATAATTGTAAAAAGTCAACTTCAATTTAGCACCAATTAAACCACATATTTTTTAACGTTCTGTATAAGAATTTAAATATTTCTTATAGCTTAATGTTACAAACATCTTTAAGAATTTCAAAGCAAGTTATTCAACCAGTCTAACTAAACATTTAGAAGCAGAAAACTGCTCTGTGATATGTGAGATGGTTGTTTATCAGGAATATTTAATTTGATTTGTATATGAAACATAAAGATTTGTTTCATATAAAACTCATACAATTGTAAAAATATCTATCATGTTTTGACGTATTATGAATTATTTTAAGTATTATTAATCTTTAACCATCCAATTAATAACAACTATCTCATTTATTTTATTTACTCCATGAATGTAGTAAACACTTGTGTAGTTCAAAATACTCCAGTATTTAACAATTAATAAAACTTAAAACACATACATTAGTAACATGGAAAAGATGATTCTAGGAATTGTTAAGATCATTATATAAAAGACAAATGCCGTCTAAAGCCAGAGTGAGATCGTACATTTCATAAAAATAAACAGCAATTTTCTCATATTGAGAAATTAAGCAATTAATTGTCTATACTTATTATTACAGATGCACGACATTATAATATATACTATCGTTAACAAAGTTTTCATTATATAAAAATTTTGAAATACAATACAAGTTACAGATTGCTTTATTTTATTAAAACTACACAAATAAATCAAATATATGTGTCTACCTTTAAGCTTCTTCTATGGTTAAATTTTAATGAAACAAAATTTCAGAAATTACTGGATTCAAAAATGCTTGTTTGAATTCGTTATTTGTTAATTAACTAATATAGTAAGCACGAAATGTTCGCGTAAAAGGTTGTTAATTAACGTAAGGACTGAAATTAATGTAAAATAAATTTATCAAACTTTCTTTTATGAGAAGTAAACAAAGCACCGCGTACTGTAATATATAATTTCCTATCCTCTTTAATCAATTTTATTTCTACATTTTAATTTTATATTTTTAAATTTTATTAATTAAAATTATGTATAGTGATACAAGATTATGGTAAATTATATATACGTTATATTAATTTCAATAAATGAACAGTAAATTTTTTATATTTTTATTTTATTCTTTTGAACTTATATTGTATTTTACTATATATTATTTATCCTTTTAATATTTCAACAACGAATAAAAGATCTAATAATTAAAGATGTGTAATAAGTAAACATGTATAGTTTAACATGTATAACTATACTTGGGTGTGATTTTAACTGAAGCTTTTGACACTTTTAATCAATAAATATTTACGTATTTCATATTTTTAATTATCTTGTCTTTTACTTAAGAAAGAGTCAAATATAATTTTTGAAGATCTATTTATTTTCACGTTTGTTATAAATAAAGTATCGCACACACTCACTCATTCTCGTACTAGTCGATTTACCACTGATCATTACTTTTTTAATTTATATTAATCGAAATAGCTCGATGTAATTGAGCATAGTGTCTTTTAGTGTTTTTAAAGAATCTAAAACCAACAACTGGTGCGCTAGCACTGCAAATTTTTTTATACATTTTAGCCCTATTTATTTTCTATTTTACACAATTTACTAAGAACTATTATTTTGTAAATTCTTGCTGGTAGAACATTTTTTAATTATCATAATCTTTTCATCTAATGATAAAAATAATTATTGTAATTTACTAAGAATTATCTGATATCTTTTGGCAGTGTCTGTTCAATTTACAATATTTGAAAAATCTTCACTATGCACACGTAGTTCTTCCAATAAATGTTTTAATAACTTACTAACTTGTATTATAATGAATTGTATCACTTTTATTTTTGAAATTGTTGCTATATAAGTCACTATTAAACATAAAATGACAAATATATTTACAATAAATTTTATCTATTGTTAATGCGTGTATTACAATTTTTTTAAAAGGCTTGGCAGTTAAACTACGTATAACGAACAAATTCATATTTTTCGTAGCTTATTTCATGTCGCAAAAACTTCATTTCATTTGTATGAAATCTGTGTTATTAACAGAAAAAAATACAAGAATGTTATTAAAAGATGAAAATACTAAAAACGGAAGTTTTTGCAATATAACAAACTGCGAAACTTAATACATCTACATTCAAAAAATACATAATTACATGAGATAATTATTTTAATACCTCACATCTTTTTAATAAGATTCAATAATTAAACCGACTTCCTTGAAGTCATATTGAAATGAATTCGAAATGAGCTCAATTTTCTGTGCATTAATTTTTTCTATGATAAAATTTTGAAGTCATGATGATACGAACTTAAAAGATTTTAATGATTCTGATTCTTCATAAATAAGGATGTTTATTTAGCACCGACAAGTTTCTTAAGCAAATCAGTGCTTAGAGATTTGGGCCTTTCTATCGGAAGACCTAGAGCTCGGGACCAGACGAGAGACGCTAAAACACCAAGAGCACGTGATACTCCGAACAGGACGGTGTAATAATTCATCTCCTTCATTCCATAATATTGTAATAGAACTCCCGAATGGGCATCTACATTTGGCCATGGGTTCTTTACTTTGCCAGTTTCCGTAAGAACGGGCGGAACTATTTTGTATATTTGAGAAACAAGCTAAAAATATACGAATATAATCATTAATCAAGAATAAATCGGAAATTTGATATAAATATTAAAGAAGTTATTGAATAAATTTACCTTGAATAGTTTGTCATCCGGTAAGTGTTTCAGTGCAAATTCTCTCTGGCATGTGTACCTAGGATCAGTCTTTCTGAGTACGGCATGGCCGTATCCAGGAACGACTTGACCGCTTTTTAGCGTGTTCCAAATGAACTCCTTCAATTGTTCATCACTGGGACTGTCTCCAACCTTTTCGCGCAACTTTTCTAACCATATTAATACTTCTTGATTTGCAAGACCATGAAGTGGACCAGCTAAGCCGTTCATTCCAGCGGCGAATGACAGGTATGGGTCAGACAATGCCGAACCTACCAAATGAGTGGTGTGTGCAGATACATTACCACCTTCGTGATCAGAGTGAATTGTCAGATATAAACGTAAAAGTTCGGTGAATTGTGGGTTATCATAACCGAGCAAGTTCGCGAAATTCCAAGACCAATCTTTGCCCGCATCGACGCTTCCTGCACCTTTACCACCCTTGTAGATGTTTCGATATATTGTAGCAGCTACTACGGGTAATTTGGCGATCAAGTTCATTGTATCTTCGTAAGCGGGTTCCCAATATTTGGACTTGTGTATGCCTCCCGTGTATGCTTTTACGAATTCACTCTCACTATTTAGAAGAGTGATGGCGGCAGAGAATTGAGTCATGGGATGAATCGATTTGGGCAAGCTGTTTAGAGTTTTGACCACATGATCAGGTAATGCGCTTCTGCTAGCCCATTCTTGAGAAATTGCTTTAACTTGAGCCTCAGTGGGAATGTCGCCGGTAATCAAAAGCCAGAATAAACCTTCCGGAAGTGGTTCTTCACCGCCCTTAGCTTTTGGTAGAAGTTTCTGACACTCTGGAATCGATTTTCCTCGGAATCTAATACCTTCTTCAGGATCCAGGACTGACGGTTCCCATATAAGTGCTTTAATTCCACGCATACCACCGTACATCTGAAAAGTAACAAAGGTTATCAACATCAAGTGTAAAAAGATAGAATAAAAAAGGAGAAACTAGTTCATTGACATTAATTTCCAATGTAACAACTGTAAGAAGCACATTTTGAACTGATTTGAATGTTACTTTAATTTTACATATAAGAATGGAGAGAGAGAGAGAGAGAGAAGAAAAAGGAATTAGAACTCATTAAGTTATCAAATATAAATTAGTAAATCGTTAAATACAAAGAATTTTATTTCATTTTCAGAAAATGTGATATTCAAGGAATACACAGCTCATGGGATATGAAATTTGAAAGTTCTGGTTCTAGGATTTTAAACGGCCAGAAATTTTTCCAACAACCTAAAGATCTGTTTATATCACGATCACATAATAAGCACGCGGCATTTGCGCTGATTCCTTGGTCCTTATCATCTATCTATAAAACATTTATCGCTATTATAAAAAAAAATTGTACTATGTTTTATAGTAAGATTTAACGTTCTCCACGTGGCTTGGTATTTAACACGTAATCACGTTTATCGCGTGACGCGTGTATGTATTACTGTTGCAATAACATTGCTACTACGTTCGATAATTTATTCATCATCAGATGTTTAACATGAAAGGACGATGTAGTCAAAATTGCACAACGAGCAAATGCATACCATATCCACGGTAACTTCTCCAACTTTGGTGGATCCATTTGCTTTACGGAACGCCTTGATACGCTCCTGTTCCTTTGGAATTTTTTCAGCCAGAACCTTTTTCAGGTCAGTAGAAGCATCGCTCAATGATCTTGTGAATACGATCGAAGTTTTTTTCTGTAAAAGCAAAAGAAGAAATTAATTATCGCAGTTATATTCTGATAACTATATTTTTTTAAATCTATCAATGTCTATATGTCGCAAAAAAAATTTAATTTTTGTCATTGTTTTTTCATTTATGTAAAACTAAATTGTTGATAATAACTACAAGCAATTTGACGACGTAGTTTTTTTTTTGGAATAATTTTTCTCACATTGATAGATGTGGTTAAATCTTCATTACATGAATTAATTCGTTAAAATATTTTCTGCTTTTAGGTGTTTATATTGATAATAATATCATGCAATTTGACAACATATTTCTTTCGTTTTATGGGACGATTTTCCACACTGAACTTGACATGTAATCAAATTCTCATTACGGATAAAATTTTACGAGTAGACGTTACGTCAACGAACAATCATGAACAACTACTGGATTACGTAAAAAAAAGACAGCCATATATAATGACATATTTGGTCGATTAAGGAAATACATGAAAAAACTAACTTCTGTGCACATATCGTGATCATTTTAAAACTGACATTTATTATAGAAACATCGTCTACAGAGAAATTTTTTTTTGAAATGTGAATTGAATAATATTTTTGTACTTTTTATCTTGAATAAATTTATAAAATAAAATCGTCGAAAATAATATGATAAAACAAAATGATTTAAATTTTTGTTAATATTACAAAACGTTTGGAATATTTTCCTTCATGCATACATGAACACGATGTTAAAATCACAAAAATCTACAATTTCGAGTAAATGATATGGCCATTACTTTGTGTTTGTAAAAGAGTTCACAACAATTCTAATAAATTAAGCCACGCTGGAGGTAACAAGGTCTCGCATTAAAGTTCATTATCAATGCGTACGCATACGTAAACGTAAAATTAAAAGAACCTACGGCTTACAAAGTATAATACTGAATTTCATAATCGATACTTGATAATATTTCTTTCTCACATTTAATTTCTATTATTCCTCTGTCTTCTTCGTTTTTTTTTTTTTTTTTTTTTTTATTTCTTACACGCACATTTTTATTTTGAACTAACACAGTTAATAGATACCGATAAATCTCTTTACGCGATAGCAATTAACCATTCGAGTTTTTGGCGTGACAAAAAAAAAAAAAAGCATTTCAGAAGCGCGTGTCATGATTACGTCGATAATTATGTCATATGCCCTTATTTTTTTTCTCATGTGTATTTTTAGAGTATCAGATATTTTTTATTTTCCTATCTTTTCCGAACGTTTCCGAGCATTCTTCGAGCACGAGGAATCATTGTCTGCAGCAGACTAGCGTAGAAATCTCTAGATAGCGGTAAATGCAGACTGAAAGCTCGGGGAGCAAACATCGATTCACGACCGCATTTTGCAATGTGAATGAGAAATTAGGCCGAGGTGAAATCACGATGAGAAGGTAAAGCAGAGCATCTAGTGGAGATTTGTAAATTTTGATATTTACTGAACTTCGATTGTCCGATTCCAAAAGCAAAATCGATTTTTATATTTGCCCCGTGTAAACGTTTCTTCGTCACGTTATTACACCACTTTTAAAAATACAGTTTATTCATTGCGATAAATTTTTAAAATCATTCATCCATTTTATCAAATTATTGATTAAATGTTCCAATTTGTTTCAGTAGTATTATTCTTCTAAGTTGATCGCAATATACAAGAAAATAAAATTCTAAAAGTAATGAGAATAATTATTAGAACTTCTCATTATAAAATGATCCTATTATAAGGTGAATCAGCAAGTTGTTGAAAAACTTTTATATTAAACTTGTAATCTAAAGATGTGATCCTATTTGACAGTGATAGACTATTGGGTGTCTTTTTGATTAGTATTCCTATACAAGCGCAGTATGTAATATATGATTATATCACACTCCAGATGAGACCATCTTCAATGTACTGCATATATACTGTTGAATAGGAATCGCCAATGACCTTGGCCTTTCTATTAAATTTGTCATTCATCTTATAAGATCACTGCACATGTGCATATCACTGCATATGTAGCTGTCTACATATGTACACATGCATCGAGACACATTATATCTTCCAATTATATACGAATAATGATTGTTTAAACGAAAATAGTAACTCCAAAGTATCGTTTAATTATAACACGGAAGTTGAATCTGTTACATAAGTTGTGATCTAACAATTTCATTTGTAAAAGCACAATCATTGGCTCGCAGAAAGCTGTAGAAAGTGAATGTACGAAGTGTATATTTAACGAATGATTAATTTTAAATCTGTTATGAAAGAGAATAGCTCGATGTTGTATTGTAAGATTACAATGTACATACGTTCCTTTTTAACGTATTGTACTTATGAACGTAAAAGTTCACCTAGAACATTATTAAATACATGACAAAATGTTTCGTCTGGATACAGGCCAGAGTTTCAAATACTGACTAAAAATAATAGTTCCACGTGTTCTATAACCTATGCTACATAATGCATATATGATAAGAAAATTGGATGCAAAAAAGGTAGGTGTCCTTTGGAACACGATTCATTGTTACAAACATGATTACGTGTGTATGTTCTTGGACTTGATTTTTTTTTGAAATTCAAAGTGTCACAGGAAATGTTACAATTTGATGAATTAATTTGGACACCAATTCGACATTTGAGGTTCAAGAACATACTCTTCTGTTCATAAGGATGTTTTATAAGATCCAAAATACAATTTTTAGTTCGTTATTTCTTCGCAATATTTCAATAATTTTTAGACACTAATTATTTAAAAATGTAATAAAAGAGTTTAAACATATAATTTTCTTTTGATAATTAGTTCTGAACAAAAATAATTATCTAAGTACTATGCATACTTATCAGTTTTTGACGTTGAGATAAATCAATTACTATTCAATATATGCGTTTTGCATCGGTGCATTCGAGTTTAAGTTCGTTACATTCCAAGTATTTGTTGCTTCAACTGCAAGTAATAATATACTTAGTACGTAATGTAAGACGGATATCAAATGGTAACCACAACGATGTAACGAAATACTAATTGAATAGATTGACACTGACTTTTATTTTTATCGTTTTGCACGTATCATGAATCAGATCGATAAGTTAACCTACATTGATTTAATTTCTTCGCCATCATCAATTCATCAAATTAAAATAATATTAAAATTTCATAATGTCAATTCGTATTCATCTTTAATTCTACTGTATTTATAAATATATATAGTACAAATAATAAAATAAAATACTGTTTCTGAAGAAATATGTATGTGTGATTTGGAATCATAGAATATAATTGTCACCTTATCTCGTTGTCAGAAAAATTTGAAGTTTTTTAATAATGAGTTCATGATAAATTTTGGTCAAACAATTGTATCTTTCCTCCTTAGAAATTGTAATAAATAATTATAATCGAAACTTTCACTGCCAAGGAGAGTCAAAAGAAAGATAAGATATAGAATCAAGATATGGATCAAAAAAATCTGAATTTCAAAATGTTAACTTTTACCAAGATAAGATATAGAATCAAGATATGGATCAAAAAAATCTGAATTTCAAAATGTTAACTTTTACCATAAATGATGAATTTTCGATTCATCTTATGGCATTTATAAATTGATTTGAGTCGCAAGTCATTTCATTTTTACAATGTTTCTTTTTTTCTTTACAATTCATACGTGAAAAAATATTTTAAAAAATTTATTAAATTTGTAATTAGCTGCCTATGAATGAACAAAGTTCAACATGAAACTCCCTGCTCGCGATTATCTCGTAATTACTGAATGATTACGTTTGTATATCAATTCCTGAATAAATAATATTCAATACTTGTTCAGCTGAATTATTAATTTGCAACTAACTTTAGATCATTAAGTAACTTATTCAGTTGAATTACTAACTTACTTTTATATTTTTCTTCCTATACCAATTTCGAATGAATACAAAATCTACTTTATTGAATAATTAGAATACCGTTTAATCTACTAATCACGATAATGTTTAAATTTTTTTGTAGAGAAAATATCCGAGTCAGATCTTTTATTAAATCAGGTAAAAGCCTGAACAGTCTAGGTGAGTACTGATATGAAAGATAAAAATTTTTTAATTAAATATTATAATGGCACAGACAGATGGCTTGTTAAGCTTATATCTAACATTATGTTTAACATCGTAATGCATTATAAATTTTTTCCGTACTATTGCATAACATTTCGTTTTACCCTTAATATAGCATCGAAACTAAAAATCGAAATTACATGAATGAATGAAATTGCATGAATATTTCTTTAGTTATATATAATATGTATAAATTTTACACGACTATATGAAACGATACGATAATACATATAAAAATTTCAATCATACGATATACTATTAGAATCATTTAATTATCTTCTCTGAACATTTATGTGTAAGACATTTACGAAAAGATCGATTTATTTTTACTCGTTGATATCCTTTAAATAAATGTGTAGGTCGATCGAAGAAATTGATTCGCAACCTGAAACACGTTTATAACACGACTGATTTGATTGATCGTTCATGTCAAGATATATTCAACTCGTACGAGATAATTAAATAACAATAAGGACGAATTAATTTATAAGATTTTTCATGCTTTTTCTTTTTATATAATATTATTACGTGCAATAACAATGATGCTAAATTGTAATTGTTTCTCAACAATATATAACAATTTTGAATATGATGTTAATTATGCGTTTCTAATCAAATTTGCAACAAAGATTAGGTCCTTGGAGCAAGGTATAATTAAATAACCTGACAATAAATTTATTACTATACATTATGGGTAAATAAACAATCTGATAAGATTTCCAAACTGTATAAATATCTTACGTGTTACGTATTCGTGATATTTGTACGTCATCTGATTATATGCGACATGCGATTTTAAATATAATTGAAAGAATGAAAAGAACAAGGAGACAAAATGGTCGATAAAATTTCAGATCTGCGATTATGATTATCATCCCATATGTTCACAATATTCACACATTTGACGTCAATACCTCATACGTCGCACGCTATTCGGTTTGCAGTATTGTGACCAATAATCATTTTAAATTTTAATTCTTTCTAATGATGCATGCACGCAATAGATGCTGACGTATAAAACACGATTCCTTCCACGATTTCTTTCAGGAAATTCCTTTCGTTGATATGCACACAAACGCAAGCCATTCAATTATTTATCTTAATCTCCTAAAATCATTATTATACGACTTGATATAAATTTTTTATTAGAAGAAAGATAATGATTGTATAACATCATTAACTTGCAATTAATCAGCAATTATATATGACTGCCGATTATGACTCAATCGTAAAGATTGTAAAAGTTAAAATGTACAGTTTATCTATTGCTAAAAACAATTTCAAGAAACACGAAGGTCAAACGTTTTTGTAAAAATAGTTGTTTTAAAGCACAGTAAAAATTTTAAGTGCAGACGACAACGGTATATAATTGTATGATATGCAATTATATCTCATTAATTACATCACATTATTATTATAATTATTGTCTCTTATTGATATGTTTTTAAAGAAGAGTTATTATAAGTTTATCTTAGTCTCGTCTAAACTCGAATAAATTAATTGCTATCATAATTTACACATAAATTAATTGCTCTATCGATGTTTATTATTAATTTAATCAGACAAAACAATAGAATCGTGAATCTATAAATTTTTTTTATTTCCATTTCAATATCGCTACATGTATTATATGTCGAGATATTAATTGTGGTTATCTCCTAAGTTCGGGTTTTTCAAAATCGCAATGACGTCATATGAATTTTCCTCCTACTCGTTTTCATACAAACATACAGGCGATAATTTATCTTGAAGAAAGTTAATCCATATTCGATTTAGCTTTTACATACAAAAAAGGTAATTTGTTCTAAGGAAAATTTTCGCACCATTTTTTGCACATTTCAGTAAAATGAAGATCTCTGACCTTATTTGTTCTCTCGATCGAAAGTAGGGTAACTTAATCGTATCCTCGACGAGAACAAGTTCTCCTTTCTTTACTGCGCTTATCCTCATTACAGGCGAGTATCTGCCTAGGAATTTCAATTTTCTCACAAACTTGAATCCGTTCTTAAGCAATGCACAAGTTGATATGAAGAAATCTCCGAAATTAGACTGAGCATTACATTACTGATAAATTAAATTGAACCGAGCTTTGTGATTAAATTTTTTTAATAAAAAAAAAAAAAAAAAACAGGAATATCACACGACATTATCTTGGCAATTATTTATCAGAATTGATAAATATCTAATTGTATCATTTTATAATACCAGTAATCGCGAGATTATATTTTTTTTTAAATTTAAGAAAAACAATTTAAATAATTATGCATTTTAGCTTATACCAAGTAGTTTATACATTTATAATATACAAATAAATTTAGGAAATATTTCAAGAATTTTACAGTGACTAATCAATAGATCGAAGCATTAAGAATGCTTCAAGGTTACTTGAAGCTATGTTTTACCACCTATGTATGTAGTACATAAGAAAGTAAAATATTGACGGAATTTTATCGTTAAAAGTATTTTTAATATTTGCTATCATAATTTACACATAAATTAATCTTGATCGTATCAAGATATATTAACATTTTATTTAATTATTTGTTTGCAACATTCACAAGAAATTCATATCACTTATCACTTCGTTATCTTTGATTGCATATTTAACAAATATTTAAAGAGCACCACTGAGTGGAACATACCCGGCCCGTAAGTTACCATTATCTAATTGATTTTGCGCCATATAATCGTTAAATGGCGCTAAAATGACATGACAGAGGAGAGTGTCATGTATGATCCAATCTGCATTAACCCTGATATTCAATCGTCTTGCCACTAACTATACGTTTGACTTAAACTTTTGATATCTCTTATAATATCTTTCTGTTAAGACAATTCATTTTGATTAAATTATAAGAATTTAGAAGGAAACAACTAAAATGTATAAAGTTCAATGAAATCGAACATTTTTTTTATTAATTTATAATTACAATCTTATTACTGATAGATTCTCTAAGTTCGAACTTAAATTTTTGCCATATTAGGATATAGACAAATTGAATTGGTCGATAATAAATATTAATAATTTACATCGATTTTACATCGTGTAAAAGAAAGTAAAGAAAGAGATAGTTTTGGTGCAGCATGTTACGTGATCTAAAGGTCACGTTCATATATCTATGATATTAGGTAATCGACGAGCCATCTATAAGATGAGCGAGGAGTTTCTAAATCTGCTAAAAGTTAATGGATACATGTACATTTTGTGCTAAGCTATTCATTAAATCTTACTAATCAAGTTTATGATTTAGACAAAAATTAAACAATTAATTTTTAATAATATTTTTATTTAAATCAATTGTATCAATTTTGATATATCTATTTTTCTGTATAAAATATAAAGCACTAACATATAATACATTAAGTATTTTCATCATTAATATTAGTTAAGTTATCATAATACATGAATTAAAACCGGAAGAGAAAAATTAAGAAGAATTAAAATTGAATGTATCATCTGCTACACATGAGTAAGTAAGAAAGATTAACTTAAATATTTTGGGTTAAAGCTACATGACTTGTTCGAAGTTCAATCGGTAAGCAGGTGTTCGTCAGGAACAGGTCATGAACAATATGGATCAAGAGGACAAAACAGATTTTGACCTCGAATTTGTTCTAAAATTATTCTACCTTACGAAATTATAATGCTGTGCATTCCTCAATGGATATGTGTATGGACGTAAGAGATTCCTAAATATTTTGCATGCACGTTATGTCATGTTTCGATCTATAAATGAATTTGTCGCCATAGAGTTCGATTTGAAAGCATTTTGGTTAAAGATTTAAAAGATTTAAATTTGGTTACAGTATTTATGCTATCGTAATAAGTCAAAGATAAATCAACAAAAATAAATTGATACTTTTAATTTTCTTTAAACTAAGCTTTTAACTTTTATATTAATTTTTATGAAGCTAATATGTATCTTGCATTGTTTCTGATCAGACATACGATCACGAAAAACTTCGAATTTTGGTTAACCGGAACTAAAGTCATTTGGAAAAAAAATTTTACTCATGCATTTTACAAGTATTTATATACAATTCTATTGTAAATTAATACACGGTCACTTGAAGTGCTTGACATTTCACGTTGATACATTCATTAATAAATGTTCGAAATAGAAAACAATAACCAAAATATTTAATTTATTCCATTTTTATGCGTATTATTTAAAAATTGTTTATTACAATCATAGATCAATTAATAAGTTCGATATGTAACTTACGATAAATAGTATGCAATAATTATATATCTTCTAAAAATTTATTACGTAACTGCTATCAACCTTGTCTAAATTAATGCCAAGTTCTGTCGGTTAGGTAAAACCTATATCATTCGATATCTAATTCAACGTATATTTTTAAACACTTGATTAATATATATATTTGTTCTACGATCTTCATAATATTTCGTATTACTATTCAATGCAACTTCTCGATTCAATAAGATACTCTCATATTATAGATATTGTGCCAAAATCATGTGCATTGTTGGAACCTTCACAAAGGTGTTCCAAACATACGTTCAATACGTCGGAATACCTGCGAATATAAACTTTTCACAGCTGGTATTTCATCTGTCCAATCAACAAACATGATCTAATATCTGGCTTGAATATAATTAACATAGACGACTTACTATAAATCTGCGAATTTATATACCGACAGTTTTGATTGTATAGTTACTAGGCTATCGGTCGATAGAACGCCTACTTGATATCCAGAACTGTAGCGTTTTAGCTTTTAAAGGTACACAAGGTTCTAGCACTTCGAAAGAGCTAAATAATAAAAAAACATTTATTCTTTTATGATCATCTATTTAAAATAATCCTCTATTATTACAACAAATAATGATATACGTTAAACACCTGCTTGCCGTTCGAATTTCGCACCGGAACAACGTGAAGAGCTTTAAGAATCATTCAAATATCACATTGCATACCAAGATCAATCAATTCTAGATAAGTTCATTTACCACGCACCTGGAATTCCAAACAACGTTTTGAACTGAAACGGAAGAGTGCCATTTTTCTTTATATCCTGGCTTATGGATCCTTCCTCTTTCTTGTTACCGTCACACCAACTATCTAACTGACCACGCGGAGCTCTGGCGCCCAACTCAACTAACTGCTTTCTTTGTTCGTCACGAATATTTTTAGCGCGCATGCGTACAATAGCAGATGTCCTCAAAGGATCATTTATATCTACAAATCTGCCATGTTGCGTTTATAAGAAATATCAAAATTATTTTTATCATTATCCTTAGTAAATATTTTAAAGAAATTAAAGAATAATATTTACTTAAAATGTATGATAAATTTTAATAGACCTAATTCCATATCATTCGTATAATAAACTAAATATTTTAATATTTTGCTGTTGTTCCAATATAGGGAATTTTGACAATTGGTAATTGATGTCAAATTTAGCGCGTATATTTAAATCTATTGTGATACATTTGTGTAAAATATTATACGTAGACTCTTACATTTACTATTAGTTGCCTTAATATAATTGTTTGTTTATTGAAACCTCTTCTATAATTAAATAATCAACAGAAAATACCAAGTTTGTCACATATCTCCAATGATAATGAAGGTCTACAATTCATAAATATTTATATAAATAAATATAAATAAATTGATCTCACATTACATTTTTTCTATTAAAATTAATAATTACTTATTTAATGTGAAAAAATGGAATCCACAAGTAGTTTTACTTGCAATTATTTCTTTTATAATATTTGTAGCTATTTCTACTGCATAATTGTGTACTTTTTCATTATTATCTTTTATACATTCCAGAGTATTTAAAATAATTTTAGGTACTTTAATATTGCAAATTTTTGCCATTTTTTGGAGACACATGTAATTCAAAATTGGAAAAATACCTGGGATTATTGGAACATTAATTCCAATTTTCTTACAATCGTTCACAAATTTAATAAAAATATTTGCTTCAAAAACAATTTGTGTTATTATAAAATCTGCGCCCGCATCAATCTTCAATGAAAATTAATGTTAATATGTTTATTTTAAATATATAAATGAATAATAAAGATAAAATAATATAATTACTTTTTCTTTCAAATAAATTAAATCCATTTCTTTAGATGATGATTCTGGGTGCATTTCTGGATAACCAGCAACACATATACAAAATATATCATCAAATTGATTCCTTATGAAACGTACTAAATCAACTGCATGTGGAAATTCACCATTTGATTTTGTTGAATCTGAAATTTCTTTTCATACAATTCAAATAACATGAAAACATAGATGAGCAATTTTACAATAATTTCTAATTACCACCCCTTAAAACAAATATGTTACGTATATCACGTTCTAATGCTTTCTTTAATATAATTTTTACATCAGTGGGAGTTAAATTGTTAGCTATAAGATGGAGGAGTGTATTATTTGGAAGTGCATTAAATACATCTAAAGACAGATAATCTTTCATATCATTTTTAATATGCCATGTCAATGTATAAAAAGATGGATGATATTTATTCACTTCTGCAAAAAATCTAACAAAAATTTTTATTCATAAAAATATAAATTTATTAAGTGTTATTAAATATATAATATACAAACCTTTGATAGAAATCATTGTTTTTTACACGCATGATTTCGAAACTACAAGATATAGCATTTGTATTTATTATATCTTTTAATGTTTTTCTTAAATCAATCATTTGGCACTTAATATTTGTAAATAAAAAATAGTTTGTGTTATTATCACATTCGTTGTCAATCCCTTGATCACGTATTTTATGTTCTACCACAAATTTTTTTATTTTTTTGGTATATATGTAAATGTGGAAAGCTAATTGCTACACATTTCACATGATCTAGGCCACAAGATTGTCGTAATCAAATTACGCAATGTATGAAATATATAATCGACTTAATATAATGGGATAATTTCTCAAAAGTGTTACTATAAAAATTTAATATTATAATTGTGAAATTATTAAAATACATTTCTTAAAATATTAATTTTTTAAATTGCATCTTAAAATTTTAACATTATTTGCATTATATCATTTGAAATTTATTTTTAACAAAATATATAAATCTTTTGTCATTTATTATTACTTTTTTTTGTTAAATACAATTTTCTACAAACTTCTGTTATTGGAATATCATAAACAGGAGATATACCACCTGGAATAGTTTCTTTTTTGGAACATGAATGTTTATCTGTTATAGTTGCAATATCATTAATATCTGGGGTCATAGATAAATTTACAGCTGGATAAATAATAAATGCAAATGTGGCTAAGGCAGTTAAAGCCCAAATTGGAATTGCTACAGCCCAATATTTAGAGGGCCAATATGTTAATCCTAAAGTATATAAAATTTGATCTGGTATTACAGCCCATATTAGAAATAAAACAAAAAGCATATTTGACCCTATGTATAAAGCATATCCATAAACAGATCTCGGTGCATATGGAGCTGGAGTATGTTCCATTTTGTATAATATTATATAGTTTTAACAATAAATATGTACTTAATAATAATTATAAGTAGGTACAGGTGGGCCAAAAAGTTGCATAGTTTCTGTTACTAAAATTAAACTATCAAAAAATGAAGTTAATGCCACTCTAACTTTTCGTGCTTCTGTTCCAGAAATTGATCTATGAAGAAAAATACACATTAATACAATAAACTGTGTATATACTTAAACTTATACCATTACGACAAATATATAAAAACTTACATTTGTAATAAATTATTATCGAGTGTCAAACTCTTTGCAATACTACCTCTTGAGGGCTCTTTATCAACTCTTAATACCTGATAAGCAATTTCTGCTTCCCTTCCTGATGGGAAAGGTATTGATAAATTTCTATACAAAATTAAGGTTATATCCGTAATTCTGTAATTAAATAAGACATTATGAAATTATTTATTTTAAAGGATACACACTGAAAGTACTCATTACAGTAATTATTATTTAATTCATAATATAAAAACGTTTCTTATAGTATAGATTTTTATACATTTATATGTCTATGGATATTTAAATCGTTAATTTTATAATCCGTTCTGTAATAATTTAGTAATGTGATTGCTTTTTACAAAGTAAGATTATTCCCAAATTTGTTCAATATATATTTAAAGCTGAATAACGGTTTTTATATATAGATATGTATATAGATATGTTTGTAGATACAAACTTCTAGTAACTAGTAACTAGTAACTTCTCGCGTTGTACTCCATGTTCGTTGATATATAACACGCAACAGTTTATAATTTAAATATTGTAGAAAGCTTGATACAAACTAGTGTACATCAGGTTATTCGATATATTTTAAACGTAATGGGCCGAAGAAAAAGTAAACGAAAGCCACCAAGTAAAAAGAAAGCTATTCAACCATTAGATACACAATTTAATTGTCCATTTTGCAATCACGAAAAATCATGTGAGGTTAAAATGTACGTATAATTAATTTTCCGCTGACTTTTATATCACATAAATTTCAATTTTACTACTTTCTTCTTTTATTTACAGGGATAAGTCAAAAAACACAGCTAGAATTACTTGCAGAGTCTGTCTGGAGGACTTCCAAACTACAATCAATTTACTTTCAGAACCTTTGGATGTATATAATGACTGGATTGATGCATGTGAAAATGCAAACTAAATTTTTTTATTTTTGTGTCAGATTGATGCTCAAACTTATTTACTTATTTTTTTTTTTACTAAATTGTATCAGCATTTAGCATTTTATGACATAATTGAACCATAGACAAAATCTGTGACAATACGTAACTAATAACATATATTTTATATGTTAATGAAAAGACATTTTTAATTATATAAATTTAATATTTAGTTTAAAGTAACAAAAGTATATGTATAGTATATGTATCGTATTAAGTGTTACATTACATTAATTTCAATTATATGACATTCATACAATCATATTTATATGTACGAACCTTTCATACTTACTAAGTAAGTATCTGAATGTTCATTTTAAAAGTAATAGGAATATTATATAAATGTTATAACCTACATATATATTTGTATATAAAAAAACATAACGCTTTTACTATAAAAACCAAGTTGTAAAAGAATAAAAATATGAATAAAATACTATAGTATAACTTCATAAATATCAATGATTTTAATCCACCTTTATTGCGGATTTAAACATATTAAAATAATTAACATTAGTAGTAGTATTTTTTATAAATAAAAAAGTTCATGAGTAATAGAAAAAAAATACAAGGCTAATCACATTAATGCTTTCATGCAATTAAATGAATACTTTTTTTGTGACAACTATTTGAAATATAAAGGCCGCAGTTTATTAAAAAAATTACTGAGAAGTAGAAAAAGAACGGAAAGGCTAAATGTGAAATGAAGTTATGCTGTTCCCTCGCAAATATTCAGCGGATGTGTTTCATAGCGCATTCAAGATGGCGTTCCATCGAATGGAATATGCTTGTTAGAAAAAGTGTGTGAAAAAAAATGCCGCGGAAAGCTTGAGAGCAACGCGTGCGAGCTGCGAAGTGAAGTTTCGATCGCAGAGTGAATCCTCGTGACTTTGCCATGCATTCTAGATGAAAATAATTCAAATGACGAGGCTGAAACGATGCGTGCATTAACCCAAGTGACAAGGCTTGTTCGCTGATCTTCGGACATTGCGGAGAACCGTGATCGTCGAGCGGCGAACAACGACGCTATGGCGTCCATCGGACGTGTGTATGTGTGTGTCATTATTTTTAATCCGCAATTAACAGCTAATTAAGCAGTCGTAACTACGGATCACAAGTAGAATTCAATGCGTGTAAGATTCGTGCTGACGCCGGTTGCTAAACGACGCGACTCTCTAGCATTAATCGCCCAAACCGGATCAGTTCGTCCAAAAACAAACATTCTGGGCTGCTTTCGTTTCTTCTGTTTGACAGCTCCTAATCTAAATTACTTGGAATATTATGAATATTCCTTCTCGATATCCTCAGTTAAGTTGTCTTCAAATTGTGCTTCCGCTATGATCCTCTTATTAAACAGCATCGTCCAAATCGTTGCTGTTAGAGTTTATTCGTGAGCTCGAGAATGTGATTAAACTGATTTTTCAACAAGTGTGTTTAATTCCAAATGTTTATAATACGATTTATATTTTATATGCTGTTTTAAAATATGTTGTTTTTAAGCCTTTATGAGAGAATTTTAATAATATATCAACGCATGCAATCTTCCATGTAAACATTTCTCTAAGTATAAGACTATAATTATTAATTTCTGTTTTAATATTTAGGTATTTTAATCTTAATATTAATTGAGTGTTTATTTGTGTTGCTTTGTACAAAACAAAGTAAATATTGTTTTATATACTTTTACATGAAATACAAATGTATTATTTGAAATACAATTGTATGTGATATAGCAATGTATTCCATAAATATGCAATCAACTATTATTCATTTTAATTTATTGTACACTGTGTTTTAACATTGAGAATTTAATAAATTGTCAAATTTGATTTATGTCAAATGCATATATAAGGTGCAATATTTTTGTTTTGTATTGTCTATTTTACATTTTTAATATATAATTGTCTTTTAGTTGTTTTTACTTACATATCAGTTTAGATTGACACTTTTTTTACTGTGACAGTTTTTTTTAATCATATGACAGATTATTATTGTTTTCTGAAATTTATGAAGGAATACATTTCTTATTGCAGGCATAAAAGAAAATGAAATTATATAAGTGATATGAAAACAATTTAATTAATAGTGTTATACAGGAAAGTGACTAGACATTCCATGATTTCACATAAAATTTTAGTAGAACACATTGTGACTTAATGGACTTTACACATCATGTCAAATAGTTTGGACAGTTTTTTAACACGTATTGGGGATGTCACTATAGAACGTGTGACCCCTCGTTCAGGCCCTAAGCCTAATGAAACAATAATGTCAAATGATACTGCAACAAACACAGACATGAATAATGTAGAGCCTCAAACAAATGATGAAAGTTCAGAGGAATCTAGTGCTGAAACATCTGATGGAGAACATGACAAGAAAAATGATACATTACAGTCAGAAGAAATAGAAGAAATACGTTCAGAAGGGTCAGGAGACGACATGGATTTAGACGAGACAATTGATTCACAAATTGGTGTGCGAGCGGAATCAGAGCGGCAACATCATTCTCAACCTGAGGATGATGATGAAGAACCAGTTAATATATTGGATACTTTGCCATTAGAAGGTTTGTACATACATTGTTATTTTTGAAATTGCATTAAATTTTAATATTAATAGCCCTTAAATTTTTTAATAGGAGCCCCAATAGAGGGTCAAGAAGTGTCAGAAGCAGACTTACTTGGAAAACCAATTTCAAAAGATACAGATGATGAAGGAAGTATAGGACATGAAAATGACAAAAATGAAGATCAAGCCATGGAAGAGGAAGGTACAGAGAGTAATAAGAGGCATGCTGATTCAGAAAATTCTGATGCAGCTAAAAAGAAACAGAAAAAAGATGATGGAACTGAGGGATCTGCATCAGAATGTGAAACGAAAGCAGAAAAGAAATTAGCAAATATGAGGAGAAATATTCGAGAAGTTATGGATGAAACTCAACTTGATGAAGCTACTTTATCAGCTCAGCGACAAGAGATGGAACGTCTTCGAAGGGTACAAGAACAACAAAGAATAATTCGTGAAGTTCAACGGCAAATAGCAATAAATAGACAAAATAGCAAAACACAAACAAGAGTAATTAGTCTTTTACAAGGAAAACAGAATCAAGCAGGCACTACTATTTCTCAATCATCTCCATCTGCACCAGTTCGTTTACCAAATACAGTGCTCCTTAAAGTAAATTCTGGATCTGGAACTGGATCGCAGACAACATCTGGAATGCAAACAAATCAAATACAAAGAAGATCAGTTGAAAGCTCTCGATGGCAAAAAGGAAGAGGTGTTTACCAAGGAGCACAAACGTCAATTTCGCGAGTTGGAAATCGACCTAGTGGTCCCAATATGTTACAACAAAGAATTCGAATGATGACTCCTTCTGTTAGCATATCTCCTGTAGTTCCTAAAAAGGAACCTATGGATAGGTCAGAATATTACTCAGATTCTGAAATCTCTGATATAGAAGCTGAAGAGGCTTTACGTGAGAAACAAATACATGCTGCTAAAAAGATGTCAACTGGACCAAAGTCTCAGAAAACTGCTAAGGGCAAAGATGTGGTTACAATATCTAGCTCTAGCGAAAGTTCAGATGATGATTGTATAGTTTTAAGTGATCCAAGTGGCGAAGAAGAAACAGACAACGAAGATGATCCATCCAATTCTGGCATGCACACTAATGATAGATATAACATTCCAGATGAACATGGTAGAGTGTTAATAAATGTGGGTCATCCTGAAACAGAACCTGATGTATTTTTAGCTCCACAGGTAGCTCGTATTATTAAACCTCATCAAATTGGTGGTATTCGTTTTCTTTATGATAATATTGTTGAGAGTATTGACAGATTCAAAACTAGTTCTGGTTTTGGTTGTATACTTGCTCACAGTATGGGTTTAGGAAAAACGCTTCAAGTTGCTAGCTTTTGTGATATTTTTTTTCGTTGTACTACTGCGAAAACTGTCCTTTGTATTATGCCTATCAATACATTGCAGAATTGGTTAGCAGAATTTAATATGTGGTTACCATATGAGGATCCTAATGCTCTAGAAAAACATGGTAAAGGTATTAAATCAGAATCTGTTGTAGAACTTAAACAAGAAGTTAAGGACGAAACTGGAAATCAGAGTGATATGTCAAACATGTCAAGTATGTCAAATATCTCAAGGCCTATCAGTACAGAATCAGCTCATCGTTTTGGACAAGAAAATACATCTCAATCTATGAACATTATATCAGAAAATCCATATATTCATCAAGGATATGAAACTCACAATATGATGCCTGGTTATGTACAAGATAATATGTTGAATAAAAATATGCCAGATTCACAAGTACATATAAATGAAAATTATCATAATGATATTTCACAAAATGCATTGTATAATACAAATCCTAATCCAATGTCTACTTTTGATTCAATGAAATCAGAAGTAAATTGTCATAGTATGCAACAAAGGTCAAACATGTCAGATACAAAATTTGGAATGGAAAATCAAAATTCTAGTAACATGTATCCTGGTTTAGAAAATCGGCCACAGGCTCCTATATATCCAGGTATGGAAACTCGAAATTCTAGTACTTTGTATCATGGGGTAGAAAATCATCATTCTGGGCCACCTGTATATTCTACTTATGATAATTCTACTAATACTTTCTCTAATTATGCAAATCGATCAACTCAAGAAACAGATTCAGAATCAAGGAAAGATTGTTTTAAAAATACTTTATCTTCTATAAATGCAGAAGTTAATGTAAAGAAAGAGCCAGAAGAAATGCTTAAGAAGGAGGAAAGTACTTGTACAACAAAAGAAGAAATAGTGAATGAAGAGAAAAAAGAAATTGAAAAAGTTAAAACTCCATTTAGTGTAGATTCACCTATTGGTATGGAAATGAGACCACGGCATTTTCGTTTACATATTTTAAATGATTCTCATAAAACTATGACAGCAAGGGCTAAAATAATTCAAGATTGGCAAGTAGGAGGTGGTGTTTTGTTGATTGGATATGAACTATATAGGCAATTATCTTTAAAAAAACCAAACAAAGCAAAAAGGAAACGTGGTCAACCTTTCAAAGACACTGTTGATGTTGAGGAAGAAGATAAGAATAAAGGATTGTTAGATGAAATGCATGCAGCTTTAGTTAATCCAGGACCTGATTTAGTCATATGTGATGAAGGTCATAGAATAAAAAATTCCCATGCTAGCATTAGTATGGCTTTGAAACAAATGCGCACAAAACGTAGAATTGTATTAACTGGTTATCCATTACAAAATAATCTTTTAGAATATTGGTGTATGGTTGATTTTGTAAGACCCAATTATTTAGGAACTAAAAGTGAATTTTGTAACATGTTTGAAAGACCAATTCAGAATGGGCAATGTATTGATTCAACACCACAAGATATACGTTTAATGAGATATCGTGCACATGTATTACATGCTTTATTAGAAGGTT